GCTTCTCCACTTGCTGATTACTTTTACTCTGCCAAGGCTGCTGCTTTTGTCACACTGAATCAAAAAGTAAGGAGAGATCTCTCCTCCACTTTAGTGAAAAGATATGTTAATTTGATGATGTAAGTGTCCTAGAATAGGTTATCAACAGTTCAGAATTAACCTTCGCAAATGCATGGTGTGAAATGGCACAGCTATGCATGAGCTATAATTTGCATGTTTACTAGAGCTCTATGGAGCAGAGGGGCACTGAAATGTGGAGTATGGTAAGTTTCATGAACCTCCAAGTAAGCCAGGGTTTAGCAAACTAGTGGGCAAGTCAGTTCCTCAGCCTGATTTCAAAAGTGTTCTGCAACTGATAAGTCCGGACCTCTTGCAGGAACCATCCTCCTCTTGGCCTGCTAGCTGGGGATGGAGACAAAAAGAGCAAAAAGGAGTGACAGAAAGAGAAAAGAAGTCAGTCTTGCTCATGCTTGACTCTGGCCTGCCTACCTGGCTTTGCTCCACCAATCACCAGCTAGTGGCCCCCAGGAAATAGGCAAAGGGCCTTTTCTATTGCTGCTCCCCATCTCTGGAACTCCCTCTCTAGGGAAATTTGCCTGGCACTATCTTTATTTTCTTTTCTGCACCAGGCAAAAGCGTACCTTAAAAAAAAAAAAAAAAAAAACTTAACCCCATGAATGTTGGTGGCCTTTTTATATTATTATATTGATATTTTAATCTTTTGATTGTTTAATAGGTTTTAACATATTATTTATACATATGTTTAATATATTGTTTTAATATGTTTAATATGTTGTTATAAGCTGCCTAGGAATGCCTTTTGGCAGTTATAGGCAGCATATAAATATGTGCATAAATAAAGATTACTCCCACCCCAAGGGAATGTGTCCCTTGCCTGCCTGCCTCTCTCTCTCTCTCTCTCTCTCTCTCTCTCTCTCTCTCTCTCTCACACACACACACACACACACACCACCACCACCACCACCACCACCACCACCACCACCACCACCACCACCGAAAATCTTTCCACCCTTCAAGCTAAAAAAGCTAAATTAGGGATTGGTGATTTCTCAAGGAAAGACACCAAAATTGGGGTTATCCCTGATACATCTGTAGCAGTAGTGTGCATAAGTTTTAACTTATCCTATGTATTAGGCACGAAGTTGCTACACTTCCCTGCCCAGTATACATTTAAGAAGGGGACAGACTGTTGCGAACTTTGGATCGACCTGTGTTCTCCTCTCACTTCCCTAGTTTTGCCTGAGAGTTAAAACCCCGTTAACTCCATAACGGGGAGCATAAACCCCATTTATGCTTAGGAGGCACAAACAATCTCCCCCCTACACACCTACCCAGCACCCTGGAGCTTCTGCTAATGAGGCCCCTGATGTGTCCATGACTTATTCATAAAGCTGCCACCAAATTTTTCCTTTTATCTTGTTGCTGCCTCCCCTCCTGGGTGCTGCCGGCTTGCCTCCCACCCTTCCTCCCTCTCTCACACACACACACAGGATCAGCAGCCCCTGCCCATCATCAGAGAGCCACAAATGAGAGGGAGCCCATGATGAATTCTTTGGTATTGCCCCAGGGCCCCTTCCTAAAACACCAGAGCTTATTAAAAACAAACCTAAGGCTAAAACAAGTACTCCAAAATGCTCCCTCCTTCACTACTGCAAGGATGCTAAACCAAATGCAGAACACACACCTTACTCAGATTCATCGCCACCCTTAAAAACATTTTAACACCATCCCCCTTTTTGGCATGCCGTCAGGATGCTTGAAGAATAGCAGAAAGCGAGATTCCGTTCTCCCCACCACTCTATTTCAAAATGTTCAGATTTGATCAAAGTAGTCTACGTAGCTGCAAATATGGAAACAAAAGGCAGAAGCTATGACAGAATAAGCTTCATACAAAAGGCTGCCACCTTACTTGGGCTGGGGGGGTGATAACATTGAGGAAAAGCACAGCCAGGTCTCCCCCCCCCCCCTTTTTGGCAATGCTCATCTTCAGGCCCAGGGACCAAATCCAGCCCTCTGGTCTCCCCAGGCCATGACCTCTTTCCTCACCCTCTTACCAATCGTTTGGTGGGTTCTTGGCTTTTGGATTATTTTTTCTGCATCATAAAAAGTTGAAGTAATTCTTCTAAAGCTTGCTTCCTGGAAAAAAATCCAAAAGAACTTTTAACTGAAATTCTTTCCTAAGTTTGCTATGTGGCCCTGCTGCTTTTGCCATTGGTCCTGCCCTCAACTGGAATGGAGGCCTGGAACCTGCTCCAAAATGGAATTTGGCCCTGTGGCTGAAATTTTTTGCACAAATAAGTATATATCTGGGCTCTGCCCATCCAGCTCTTGGCTCTACTCATCAAAAGACATTGTGGAGCTTTTCCATATTTCCTCCTTATGGATTTTGTGTGTGGAAGGAAAGATGGAAGCAGCAGTAAGAAAACACAGGATTGTAACAGAAAGTGTCATCGTCTAGATCCTCTGCAAAATTCTATAGACTGCAAAATAAAAGCCTCATTGGGACGACTCTTTGGTTAACTGCTGGGATGCAGGATGAAACTCCTGATCTTGGCCACACATAGGATGGGACTCCAGATAAGGCTAGCTGTTGCAGGGAGTCCTTTTCCAACTCACTCCGTTGCCCTGAGCAGTGAGCCACTCCTGGCCATCTCTTGCTGCGACAGTCAAAGCTAGACGAGACTGCGCTTTGCTTCACCTAAATCCCTGATTCTGGCCAAACAGAACAAGGCTCATGCCACAAGAGGGCTGGTGGCTATATGCATACAGGCATCCTGAGTTCCACACTGGATAAAAGTGAGATATAAATCTAATAAGCAAATATATTTTTGTAAGCTGTCCTGAGGCTGCTGCAATAGGACGGCATATACATGTTTTAAATAAATAAATAAATAAATAAATAAATAAAGCAGGGTGAAGAACTTTTCACCAAAATGTCCTAGAGGCAGACCTAAAACTGCTCTGTGAGAAGTTTAGATTCAGAGAATGCCAAGACAAGCAGCTAGTCCAGAAGCTGCTCCAGACCAAATGAAGCAGCAGCTTCATGTCTCAAGTGGATACCTTTAATAATAAAGAACACAATCCTATGTAAGCTTACATAATTAAAAGGGCTGCAACTCACAGCATGCCCCAGCACAGCCCCCCCCCCCCCAAACCTCCATAGGATTGCACCTTAAAAGACCCAGGTTGCTTCTAGAGTTCTTTAGTGCAGCCAAGGAACTGATTTTCTGCAATTAGCTGAAAACAGAGTAAGGACAGGGGCTGCAGATGGCATCTAATGTAGTGTTATATTACCCAGCAGTGCCACTTCCTAATATAGTAAGATGTGTTCTTGAAGTTTTTACCTGTTCTTGTTATCTGTCCAGTGCAAGTAGTATTCTACTGATGAATTGCCTCTTTATTGGCCCATTGTCAGTTCATGTTTGGGAGAAAAAAGTACTTTAATACATGGTTTTCTCTTATTTTTTTAATACAAAAACTACTTTACAATGAACAAATCAAAATAAAAAATAACAAGAGGGAGTCAGTCTTTAAAACCCCCACCCCTTTTTGGAAAGAACAGGAACTGAGTAATTATGGGCCAATTAACAGGCTGTTATTATGTAATGCTGCTGCCATGATGAAATTACAGGGGCAGAAGCTATAAGGAAGAAGCTATTATTCAAAGGTACAAGAGCCCTGAAAAATCACACTCGTACAGGGGTCCTCAAACCTTTTGAACAGGAAGCCAGTTGAAAGGCTGCAGTGACCGTCACGGGCCAGTTAGGTGGGGGTCCCTGGGGGTGCAGGTCGGTGAGGTGCCATCAGCACGCACGAGGCGACATCAGGCACACGCGGCGGTGGCTCGCTCAGAGATCTCCCAGCGAGTCCAAAACCATCTCTGAGCGAGCGAGCCACCACCTCCTTAAACGACAGCGCAGGCTGTCGTTTGAGGACCCATGCGCTAGTATTTTGCCAATCTACAGCTACAATGGTCTTTTATAAGATCATCACCATGTCTTTTTTTAAAAAAATGGTGGGAGGACAGTACAAGATGTATTGAAATCAAATGGGGTGACAATTACATTATTTAGGTTTCCATAAAACATGAGTGAACAACGTATGGCAAATTCAAACTGAAAGGTAAGAAAAGAAACTGAAACACCAGGATAGACTTGAGGTAGGGGATCACAGTTTTGAATCCTTCTCTATAGCTCAGATAATTAACAACACTCCTGGCAGACGAAACGCCAGCAGATTAGGCAAAGGCTGGTACAGAACGTTCTCCTTGTCATGTTGGTTTTTATACCATCAGGATTTGTGTGGAAGGCAGCTCAAAGACTGCATGTTTGTCCTGTCCGAGCCCATTCTACCACCTCATTCTGGTTTATGTAGACCAGACATGAGGCACGCTGTTCCAAGGGGAGGCCAGAAAAATTAGGGTTACACCTGCATTCCCTCTAGCAACCCATGCAACCTGTGAGTGACATCTGTTCATCCTTAACAGCCCGGGCATGTGCCCAGGAGTCCTACACATTCTGCCCTCCCAACAGGCACTTCAGGGTGTGCATCTTCTCGTGGAGATGTTTCACATTTGCTACACGTACAAGCAGTGTTTTCAGCAGCTAACATGAATGCTGGTAAAGAATGGAGCTCCTGAGAGGAAATAAAAATATGCTGCAGACAGACGGATCTGTTAGAAGACCAGGGGGTGCACTGTTTAAATGAAAAGGCAGAAAAAAGAAAAGCAAAACAGTCTTAAGCCTAAATGAGAAAGGACAGCATCATCCCAAATTTCAGGTGCATTTCAAAAGGAAATGAGTCACAGTCAGAAGGACAGATCCTGCAGATGGACAGCGGATTGCATATGGGAGGGAGAGCATGCAGACCAAAAACCTCCATGCCAAGTTGGAATGCAAGGGGATGGGACCCCTTTCCCCAGAATTTATTTCTCACACATTTCCCCCAAGTGCCCCTCCCAATATGATATCAAAACAACCGTTTTTCCAGGCTTTTATTTAGCAAAAGAAAAATTAATTATAAAATGAACCAATAAAAAGCCCGTGCAGCTGCAGGGACACTCCCATCCCAATTCCTTAACCCCTGGTAGGGAATTTTAATTATTTTATTTTGGGGAGGAGTGGGTTATTGAAGCCCTCCAGGCTGCAGTGCAAATATTTACACAGACTCCAAGAATGAGGGGGACATGGAGGACTTTTTACAGTGAAATCTCTACACCCAGGGAATGGAATCATTTACAGCCAATAATCTTAACAAGATGCAATAATAAATTAATGAGTAAGGCACTGCACCCAGTGAGGGCACAACAGGTGGGGTGGGGGCAAGCGGGGTGGGGGGTGTTGTCAGGTAAGGATTAAAAATACCCAATTGTCATGATTACCAAAAACAGAACAAGGGCAAATTCCACCAGCTACCAACAAGGAGTGGGGGACTAGGAAATAGTCTGTATGATTAAAAGGAGGGTCCACAAACATTTGGGGTGAGGGATCTCCACTTAGCTGCCAGTGTGAGGGGGAGGGGACATCATCTGGCTGCACCCCGACCTCATGGCTCATTCTGAGTTGCCCCTCCCAAGATAGACACACAGAGAAGGGTGCTTGTTATTGCTTCTGGGCTGAAGGTCAGGGGAGGGGGCACCACAACCTCTTTCTGCATCCCCAGGATTTCAGCCTTACAGGGCAAAAGGTCACACGTCTCTTGCCCACAGGGAATTTAAAAATGTCAAGTCTGTTGCCCTTGGCAGGGCCACAAGTCAAGGTTGGAGGTAGGTCCTTTCTGATGCATCCATCCGCCTATGCTGGCTGCGTGCCCCTCTCCCCTTTGCCCCCCCTGCCCCCCCAGCACTCTCAGCTATTTCCAGAAACGAGAGTGATGACTTGTTCAAGCTTCGGTCTCAATTTGTGTTTCCGGCAGGCGGCATCACGTTCCAGCGCAGTCAGGATCTGGGGGGTAGGGAGGGGGAGCCAATGGGTTGGAAACAAGGGTCCGGAGCAAGGAGAGGAAAAGAGAAAGGTGAAAGAGGTCAGGAAGGGTGAACCCCAAGTTCCAGGTGCAAACAGGGAATCACATCTGGGCTCTAGGATGGAAAAATACCTGGTAAAATTGGAAAGGTATGTCCAGGGGCAGGGGAGTTTTTAAGGTACTGAAATGTAGCTTGAGAGAGACTTAGCTGCCCATGATGGACCCATACATGGACCACCACTTCTAGACACAGTTTTGAACAAACCTCCTCCCCCAGAAAGCTCATAAACCTGTGCCTGGGAGGCAAAATGTGGTAAGTGTATACACAGAGACCAAGGTCTCACATACCTGCATCTAACAACAGGTCTACTGACCCACGTTTTGCTGGGTGATCTGCCACTGCCATCCCAAATGTGCAACTTCCAGTCTGAGGTTATTTGTAACCTGAGAGCCGGTATGGCATGGTGGTTTAATGTACTGGACTGGGGACCTGGGAGAACCAGTCCTCTGGGTCCCTCTAGTCCTCATTTTGCCATGAAGCTCACTGTATGACTTTGGGCCAGTCATGTACTCTCAACTGAACCTACCTCACAGGGTTGTTCTTGTGAGGATAAAATGGAGCTATATAAGCTGCCCTGAGTTCCTTGCAAGTGGAAACAAAGCATAATAATGTGTGATCTGACATGCTATGGGTTCATTGAGGGTTAAACAACCCAAGGACTTATCACCCTAAGAACTAATCACAGGCTCAACCCATACTTAGACCATCACAAAATGACCTCCAATTGGAGACTGCATATTTAAAAGGGCAGTGGCATGCAGTGGGCACACCACTGTGTGAACAGGCTCAGATACACGCAAAAGCACATATGTGGACATACGCAGCAACCACTTTAAAATTTCCTTCGGAGCAGGGAAAACTGGTGTGTGTAGAGGATAGGATTCTGCAGCAGGGTCCTTCTAAGGTTCTACCATCTAAATGTAAATGCTCCTCAGGCATGGTTGGATTGCAGATTGGATGAGAAGTGGTTGCGGGGAGTGGAAGAAAGAGTTGTGAGGGAGTCTCACCTCATCACGGTACTTTCCCACATAGCTGTAGAGCTCCCCCAGTGCACCTAATGTGTTAAATTCACCAGCATGCTGCCGTGATTGCTCCACTAGATAGGCATCCATGTCCTGGTCACTGATGGAAGCCATCTTGGTGATGTCTCGATAGTACCTAGCAAAGAGGGAAAGAGAGATTGCCTTGTGATGTCATATGTCTGGAGAAAAGGTAACTCAATCAACACACTTGTCTCAGGAGACGGAGGGACAAAGTCCAGACCGCCAACTGTTTACATTAAATTCACTCTTTGCATAAAGCATAATTCTATTTTTATTGATTAACTGCAATTGTTTACTGCAACAGTGATTTCAGTTCATGAGGCGCTTTGAGCATGCTAGCGGACAGACAGGTCATTCATTTTATGTGCTCTCCCCACTTCTTGTTCCTTAAAATTGGGTGCACTCTTTGCTGCAATACCAAACTACTGCACATTGGGCACATTTACAGAACTTTTTATTGTAACAATTCTGCTTGCAAAACTTGGGCTGGGGTATGGAAGGTGAGAGGAGGAGAAGAGGGGGCCAAAGTTGATAGAGCAGGAGAGACATCAGGGAGACAAGATGGGTGTAGCGGCTATAATGACAATCATAGAGCCAAACGCACAGATGCACATGCAAGGCTTCCTCAATCTGTTGACTTCCAGATGTTTGACTACAAATCCCATCTCCCACAGCCAGCAGGGGGCAAGAGCAACAGTTGATGGGAAAGGATTTGGAGGACACAGGGTTCACACACAATCCTTCCTCTGGTTCCAGAATCTTAAGTAAAAGTGCTCTCAGGAAAGAAAGGGGCAGCCATTACCACTCACGCCAATTCATTCTTGGCTACCGCTAGGCCCTTGTTCCCTCCAGAAGAACTCTCCTTGGTTGAGTTGGGCAGATCAGCAACACCCTTAGAAAAGGAGACCAGTGCTGCTGGGGAAAGTCTAGTTTGGAGCATAGGCAGTGCTGTTTCTCCTGTACAAAATGCTTGGTGGGGGCACAAAGCCATAGGCCAGGCCTACAAAGGCTCTCCTGCCCAGTTGACTACCTGGACACAGAAGGCATTGAGAGCTCCTTTCTTCTTCTAATCCCTTCCACGAATTCCTTCTTTGAGGACCCAAGTTTCAGACAACAGAATCTTGATATTCATGTACAGCAGGGGTGTTGAACCACAAGCCCAAGGCTCTGGCACACAAGGGGTGCCAATCCAACCCTCTGGGTTTTCCAAGGCAACCCTGCTGTTTATCCCAGCTTCTGCTGCTCCCCGCAGTCATCAACAGTTTGGTTGTTTCCCAGCTTTTCTCCATCCCCCGCCCTGCCCCCTTCTAAAACTTGAAAAGTCTTTCCTTGGGGCTTAGTTACTGGCCATAAGAGCTTTAAGCCAAACTGTGCTGGTATTCTGGGCATCTTCTCACCTTTGGCCACACCCACCCCTGGAAATTAGTCCCTGCGGAGCCTCTCTGAATTTGAATTTAGCCTTTGGGCTGAAAGAGGTTCAACACCCCAGCGCACAGTCAGAGCTACAGATGAAGTAAAGCACTGGAGATATTTGCTAAAGTTGCCCACAATCCTTGTGACCTGCCAGGTGAGGTGCAGAGGCAACGTCACTTATACCTCCCCTCTCTTTCAGCAACTCACCTCTCCACCCAGCCTTTATACACAGGAATGTCCTTGGCATACAGCAGCTTAGTCGAAGGGGAATCTTTGCCCAGGCGGTGCTCAGAGGTGGAGCATGAGTCCATGAAGGTCTGGGCCACCACAGAGAGGCAGGCATCCGTGATGCTGCTCTTGTGGATATCGAAGACAAATTGTGGGTTCTTGATGACATTCACCCAAAACCGCAGGGGCAGGCTGGAATTGGGGGGAGGGAGAAAAAGGCAAGATAGGAGAGAGATTAGTTTTTAAAGCCCCACTAGCCCAGCAGTGCAGAGGTTCACTCTTCAGAGGAAAAGGACACTGAGGTGATGAGACACCCTTACCCAAGAGCATGGCTACTGGCCCACACATTTGAAAGGCACCAGGTCAGGGAAACAAGCTCAAAATTGCTGAACCTATCAGAGATCTAAGTTCTTGAGAGGACCCTTAAGTCACATGTCTCTATGGAGCACAGCCTGTTCCTGAAGATAGTGCCTCTTTTTAGCAGAGTATCCCCTGGGAAGGTAACCTCCAGGAGCTGTTACTGCATGCCTTCATCCCTGAAGGAGAAGAACAGAGGGGCTGGCAAAGTCCCTGGGCTCAGGATGTAGGGAGCTGATCTGGCATCTAGCACTTGGGGGTTAAGAGTGCTGGCTTCTCTAGGATCGAAATGTATTCCTAGGAGAAGTTTATTCAACCAGTGCAGAGTGACGCCAGGCAAACCAATCAGCTGCGGGGTGGCCCGGAGCAGAGGACAGAGGCATAGGAGCTAATTGTTTCTTGTCCCTAAGGCAACTAATAGTAGCAAAAAGACCCATGCTTCAGGGGAAAGCTGTGGAGGTGGGAACAGAACCTAAAACACATCTGGTAGATAAAAGAAGCTGGGGCTAAAAGTTCAAGGTGTGGGTTTTAACCTTTGAGGTTCTAAATGGCTTAAGCTCTAACAGCTTAGGGTATGGTTATCTGGGCAACTGCCTGTTGCACCATGACCCTGCTCAGTTCCTGGGATCAAAAGGACAGGCCCTTCAGAAGACAGCCCTGGTTACCAAAGCACACCTGCTGGGCACATGAGAAGATGCTCTCAAAGTAAAGCTGCAACTCCTGCTGAAACTACAATCAGCTCTCTCTTTCTCTGCATTCAGAAACTGAATCCAACACATCTTTTTAATTTGCCTTTTTGCATTGCTACATTTCTGAAGGTTGCTTAAAAGATTTTACTCTGCCTGCATTTGTCAGTTTGGCTTTTAAATTTCCTTTTTGTTAAAGATGTTGATTGTATTTTTCCTGGAAAGACAACACAGAAACATTCATAATAAATATAAACAAACAAACAAACATGGGCAAAGGGCTAAAAGACAGCGGTCTCACCAATTGCTTTTCCAGGTATGTCGAACATCAGGGTCACCTATCTGCCTCCGCTCTGCCTGCTCGTCCAGAAAGTCAAACATGTACTTGATGGGCAGGGGGAGGGCACTGGCCCGGTGTGCAGTGCTGAACACGGTCTCAAATAGGTCATCCACAAACTTCTGCAATGTGCCCTGGGGAAAGGGGAAGAGAAAATTCTCTAAAAAATGTCTTTGGGGATGGAGAGAGAGAGAGAAAGGCAGGTTGCGTACCTGTTGCTGTCATTCCCTGAGTGGTCCTCTGTGCATTCACACATTCTGGCTTTATGCCTGATCAGAGCCTATTGTCAAGAGGTATCTCTAGTGAAGTAATCATTTGGGCAAGAGCCTCTCCCCTCCTTTTTCCCAGGAAGCATGAGGAGAGGCTCCTGCCAGTCCCCCACCAGGTCCTATGGAGACTGTCATGGATCTCGGGACTAAGAAGAGGAAAAAGGAGCACTGACCTGGTCTGGTCCAGTCCCAAACATCCCTGGAGAGTAAAGGGGCGATTTTTGAAGGGATGACTTGAAGGGCAGGTTGTATAAATGCAGAGATGACCACTCGAAGGACGACAGTTACAGGTAAGCAACCTGCCCTTCTTCTTTGTGGTCTCTGTGCATCCCACATATAGGTGACTAGCGAGCTTACCTTGTGAAAGATGGAGGGCTGCTGCCATCACTGGAGGATAGAGGAGAGGACTGTTCTGCTGAAAGAACAGTCTGCCCTCACACAAGCGGCCAGCCAGGATGAACATGGAGGGCATGGATCACATGGCTGCTCTGCAAATGTCTGTGGGGGAGCCCAGTGGGCCTTCAGCTGCATTGCTAGGCAGAGGCCTGCCAACTCGTATACCTGGCAAATGGCATTTGAGACCTGGTTGGACAGTCAGAGGAGAGCGGATCTCCTTTTCTCTGTCTGCTATAGCAGATAAGCACCTGGGTGAGCAGCAGAATGGCTCAGTTATGGATTTGTAGAAGGCAAGGGCCCTCCTGATGTCAAGCAGGTGCGGGGTGGGGTCTACTGGGGTGCATGGGGCAGAGAAAAAAGCAGGGAGGATGATGTCCTGACAGATGAAATAGCAAGGTGACTTTGGGGAAGAAGGCTGGCTCCAGAAGGAGGATGGCCTAGTCCCTATGAAAGGTTAAAGGCAGTGGGTCAACTCTTAAGGCACAGGGTTCACTAGTAGGATGGGCTGATGTGATGACCACTAGGAAGGCTACTTTTCAGGGTAGGAGATGCAAGTCAGTTGTAGCCAGAAGCTCGAGGGTCTTTGGGTGAGGGCACGTGGTTCCACTGACAGGCTCCATGCTGAGCTACAAGGTTGAGTGGGGGAAATGAGGTTTCACAGTCCCTTCAGGAATCCATGTGACAGTGGATGCGGGAAGACTGACACCCCCTCAATGGCTGGGGGAAAGAAGAAGATGGCTGCCAGGCATGTGTGGAACAATGCATGGGGCTGAGGCCTTTTCAGAAACAGGCCTGCGGGAAGCATGGATGGTGGTGGTTCACTGTGGGTCAAAACTTTCCTGGTGTGCAAAGGTTGTGATGGTATTCTACTTTGCCACGTGGGCCTTTGTGTGGATGACACCTTGGGCAGCAGAGGTGCTCCCCACTGCTCCAGGGGGTGACCCTCCAGGCCATAAGGTGCAGGGTTCCATCATCTGGGTGAATAATCTGGGTGAATAATGGGTGAATAATCTGGGTGAATAATCATCTGGGTGCTTGATCGTGCCTAATCTTGAAAGCTAAGCAGGGTCAGGCCTGCCTGAAATCTGGATGGGTGACTTAAATGTCACCCATTACAGAAATGTACAGAAATGTAACAACAACAACAACTTGGCTCTAGCCCTGTGAGATGAGATCCTGGGCATTTGGGAGGCAGGAGCCCTGGGAGGGCTGCAGGAGCCTCAGCCACCATGGGGTGATGAGGACATAGTCCGTTCCATCCTTCCTGATCTTGGCAATCACTGTGGAGTTTTGTGGGAATGGAGGAAAGAAGTGAAGCAGAGTCCTTCAACCAGAGCTGGTGGTGTGCGCAGACCACCACCATGCATTTGGTGAAGACTCTGGGGCTTCAAGAGCTTGAATGAAGAACTGAGAATTGGAATGTTTACTTCCCAGTTTGGAAGCATAGAAAATGTCTGTAAACCTGGTCTGTGGTGACATGGAAATAGGCATCTTTAAGGTCAATGGAGGTGAACCAGTCTCCCTGCTGCAACAGCAGGAGGATGCCCTGCAGAGCGATCACTCTGAATTTCCAGGGTCTGATGACCCAGTTGGTGCTTCTGAGGTCTAAGATCTGCCTGAGTCTCCCATCCTGCTTCAGGACTGTAAAGTATCAAGAGTAAAACCCCCTACAAGAAGCTGGAGTGGACTCTCTTGATAGCTACCTTGGAGAGTAATGTGTCAACCTCCAACAGTAGTGCCAGGGATGAGGGTGTACCTTTAATTGCACAGGGCCTCTTTCCACCATGGACAAGACACCCAAATCTGATGTTATTACTTCCCAGGCAGAGTGGAACTGGGCAAGGCACCTGTCAAAGTTTGCGTAGTGGGGAGGGGTGGTAAGAGCCATCAGTAGGGGCAGTCAGCACCAGTGCTTGTTCGCTTCTGGGCAGTTCTGGGTCTGCCAGAAGTGGGTTGGGAAGTTTGTGCCTCTTTTCTCAAGGCACCTGTGAAGGCTGTCTATGTATGGGCACTTCTGTTGCTGGGAGAAAGAGGTCCCAAAGCCCTTGCGTGGTCTAGAAGCTGGCTGCTGGAACTCCATCTGCCTGGCTGTGGGCCTCACTTCTTGGATGGAGTCCATCCTATTGGCCATTGAAGAGACCCTCCTCATCAAAGGGAAGGTCCTGAATGTGGGAGTGATCTCCTGTGGGAGGCCAGCTGAGCATGGCTGTGGATGGCCACAGCACTCACCTTGGCCTTGGCATGGCAGTCCATGTGGTGCCTGGCTGAGGCACTTTGGTATCTTGCCAGCTTGGAGGCTTCCATTTGAAGGAGGTGTGACATATCCCTGAGCTCATTTTGGAGAGACTCACTCATGGCACCAATCTTGTCCCATAATAAAAGTTGATATCCAGCCATAGTGGCTGCATCATCCAAGAACTGGAGGCCCAGGGAAGATGCTATGCAGATGCACCTCATCAATCTGTGCCCCTTGCGGCTGCCCAGAGCTGAGCGCTCCCATTGCAATGTCCTGTGTGCTGAGTCGATGATGACAGAGTTCAGCTTCGGGTGCTGCAAAAAACGGCAATGGGACATCCTTACCCAGCACCTGGTACATCAACTCCATCCTCCTTGATGTGTTGAAGGAGGAAGAGGGAGACTATTTTACTGTCTGCAGCGGGGTTGGCAGGAAGGGGATGGCCACTAGTGTTGAGTTCTCAGAACCTGGAGCATCAAAAACTGAGTCAGCAACCTGGTTCTGCTGCTGCTCAGCCCCTGGTCCCAGGTCCAAGGCCATCCTGAGCAGCTGCTCCAAGAAGTGCCCCCTCTCTTCAAACGGGGACATTGAGTCCTGGGTGGACATAGCTGCATCTGAGGACCGCTCCAATGGGGGTGGTGGGATCACCAATTCCGAGTCCGAGATGTAATCTTCCAGGCTGGAGCACAGAGACAGGCTTCATGATCGCTTGTGCTGCAGTGTTGATGGTGCTGGGGAATGGTGTCAGCCAAGTACTAGGGCCAGGTGTTGATCTGCTACTGATGGCTGGGATTGCCCCAGTACTGAGGCTCAGTGTTGTTCAGGATTTGGGGCCTGGCAGCGGCTCAGTACCAAGGGCTGCTGAGGGCTTGGCACCAGGGCCTGGAGTCAACCGACAGTTGAGGGGTGACGTCAGCTAAATGTCAAGGGATGGTGGCTGGTGGATGGCTTGTCTTCATGTCTCTCTATGCATTCCTGGTGTTGGCAGTGCTCAGCATTGGTCGTCTTGGTACCAAGGCTTGGTACTGAGATTTGCAGTCTTTGCTGTCAAAATAGCCAGTCCCATCTCCAGAGCAGAAGGATGTTGGGGACCAGTCAGAGGTGCAGCCCCATTCAATGCAGGGAGAACAGGATTGGTCCTGGTGCCTTCTGGCCTCCAAGCATGGTGTCAAGGCTGGCATGGCAGGGTGCTCCGGCACGGAGCCATTTTCCGGGAGTGCTGTTGTTGGTCTTGTGGCAGTACCTGGGGAGTGTCCCGTAGGCAAGATGAGTGGCATTGGGTCAGCTCCCGAGAGCACAATCTTCTGGACATGGGGATCAGGGCCAAGTGCTGTCCAGCAACATGGCGGGCTGAGATCCCAGTTCTCCACCCAGCATAGTAGTGGGGTCTCCCTTGCCTCCGGGGACTGGGAGCAATCAGCAGTGGTGCGGACTTGATGGTCAGGATTACTGGTTGTCCAGGGACACCCACGCCTCTTCTTTTGTTTGGGTGTGGCAGTGGCAACCATTTTTTAGTGTTTTGCTGCCTTCCTTGCTGCACAGTTGCCTGGTGAATGGCTCCATTGTGGTTGGCACGGCTCAGGTGTGGTGCTGGGTGTCTCTTGCTGTAGAGCTGGAAGACTTATCTTTTCCAGCTACTTGCAGGGTCTTCTTCCAGAGTTTGGCCTTGAGCCAATCAGCCCAGTGTTCCTCGGTCTTCTTTGTGAAGGCCTGGCAATGTGCACAGGCCTTCACAACACGTCCCTTACCCTGACAAAGGAGGCAGTGGGAGTGCCCTTTAGACCAGTGGTCTCAAACTCAACTTACCTGGGTGCCACTGGAAATAGAGTCTGGGTGAGGCTGGGCCGCATCAAGCGGTGGTGGTGGGCCGCTCATCCCGCGTCGCTCCTGGAGGCCGGCCCGGGCGCCACCGGTGCTTTGAAGGCCGCAGGGCCCCTCCCCCGTGCCCCGCCCGTCCCGGCAATTGACCCGCGGGCCGCGAGTTTGAGACCCCTGATCTAGATGGAGTGGCTTGCTCTCACAATAAGGACACTGAAGACACCATTGAGAAAGATGGGAAAAGGTGGAAATAAGAAAAAACATAGAGAGAGGCATAGGCAAGTTGGACAGGGGCAAGGAAAGCGGTAGAAAGATTTATTTTGTGTAGAATATAGAAAAAGTGTGAAAACAGGTGGTTGAAGAGAAAGGAGTGGACAGTGGATTGTTCTAAGCAAAAGAGGGGAAAACGAGAGGATAGAACACAGTATACTTAGGTAGAGGAGAGCAAAGAGATCTCCAATCTAGGCATGATGGTGTTTGAGAAGGAACTGAGGAAGCAGGAGCCTCCCTGCTGCTTCCCAAGAACAGAGGAGCTCCTGCCCAAAGGAACTCGCAGCTATAGAATCTTCCTGACAATTTTGGGCCCAGGCACAAAATCCGTATGTGGGATGCACAGAGACCATGAAGAACAACAGTCAGTTAGAATTTGGAGATCATGGCTGCCTTTCCTAACCTCATCCCCATCATGCCAAGAAGAACCAAGCCCTAGAGATAGAACATGTAAGAACAGTGGCACTCCACCACACCGACATTCCTGTCCTCCAAAAAATTAGTAGGTGATGGTGGAAGTTTGGAAAGCTGGCATCAAAGTATGGTTCAAGAGGTCTAGTAAATTTTACAGCTTTCCTGTCATGCAGCAGAGCTGGGCAACTTGTGGCTCTGCAGATGATGTTGGACTCCATCAGCACGAGGCAGTGTAACTAATGGTGAGGGATGATGAGATTGCAGTCCAGCAAGATCTGGAGGGCTACACCTTATCCAGCCCTGCTGTAGAGGTTGCAATCTGAACTCTCTTTCAGAATTTTGAAAATCTCAGCCTTCATTAAAAGGTGGAAACTGCTAGCAAATTTTTCAGCCTGATAGTCATAGAGAGGAAATAATCTAGACACTTTGGCAATTACTTCTGCATGCTTAAGGATACTAGACAAGTCTTGTTGCCATTATAAGTGGGAGGAGACCAGATCAAACTGAGCATCCCCTCAGAAAATAACCCTCATTCATGCATCTGAACGCAGACCCCAGCACCTCCTTTTCCACAAAATATTTTGCTTCAGACATGCTGTTCTAGCTCCCCTTGCATTCTCTTACTACATGGGCCCTCAAACTACAGCCCGGGGGCCAGATCCGGCCTGCCTCAGAGGTTTTTCAATGCACTGTGCGTGCACCAGCACAGGGAGGCAGCAACTTGCTCGCTCAGAGATCATTTTGGACTCGCTTGAAGAAAATGATCTCCAAGCGAGCAAGCCGCTGCATCGCGGCATGTGCCCGCTTCCGCCTCGCCTCCCCTCACCTTCCCTCGCTGTGCCCGCCCTCCCCTGCCTTGCTGCGTCCACGCACTCCGCCTCAGCACCCGCATGCCCCACTCCCACGCTGGCCCACGCGCCCCACCAGCACCACCTTTCCAGCCCGCACCCAGCACCAGCACCTTTCAACTGGCCCCCTGGTGGAAAAGTTTGAGGACCCCTGTCTTACTAGAATAGCCTCCTTAACTGTCTCCACCAATTTCTTTCTGATTTAGGAATGTAAGATCAAGTTCTTCAAATATATATTTAAATAAGGACACATGTATACCTCAATGAAGGGCAGTTGTACACCAATTTAAATGGTTGCTAAGAAACCCTAGGAATGGCAGTTTTGCAAGAATGCTGCTAAAATAAAGCAAACACTATTAAAATATATTACAGCAAAGTACGGGACTGCACCTTTGTGATTATATCAATCACGGAGGGTGACAGAATGCAAACATGCATAAGAAGTAGGATTCTCAAACACTAAGTGACACCTCCATTTCTTCCTTGTTGACAGATAATTTATGACTCCAACTTTGCCAGAGGTTTTGATGACATGGCATTTTTCATGATGTCAATAAAGTATCTGAAGTTAATTTAACTGTCATTCGACAAGCACTGGAAGATAGGGTGGGTTAACTGTAGGGCCCAGATCATAGGATCCCAGCAACCACCCCATCGGGATGTGGCCTGAACCATGCCTTGCTCAGGAGAGAGATTCAGGCCACCTTCAGGACGGGCTGGACAGGCAGATCCAGGAAGGGCAGAAACAAGGAGTAGGACTCAGGAGAAACCTCCCCAGGGAGGTTTGTTCAAGGATGGCCTTACGGTGCAGCTGAAGGAACTGGGAAGGCACGAAAGGATGGAGGAAGCTCACCAGATTTAATCTATGCAAGAGAAAAATGTAAACGCAGGAGAGGAAAAAAAAGATTGTAATACCCCAGTAGTTAAAGGCATATTCAGAAAATTAGTTAGGCTGTCCACTGAAGCAGGAATGAATTTCGCACCCCACCCCCACCTGTGCCCCTGGAAGGCACCTTTTGGTTAGGCATTAAGGAACCAAAGCTGGTTTGTGCCAGGCAAAGGTTTAGCATTCAGCTCCTTCCCTTACTGCTGCCCTACCTTGGTGGCAAGGAGCCGGGTGAGGTAGATCTCAGACACCATCTTGCTTCCCCGCTCCCCTTCCTTGGGATCTCCAAGGTGCTCGTGGTTCTTGACCAGATGCCAGAGACGGGTGCCTGAATCCTGATCTGGGGTGAGGATGGGGGCTCGTGAACGCAAGCTCTCAGGGCTGCTGGAGGTCCGCAGCAAACTCTCTGTGCAGGTTGGGGGTGGGGGGGGGGGGAGGAGAGGAGAGGAGAGAGAGAGCTTGAGCTTGATCCCAAGAAGCCAGGAGGGATCCCGCCCTCTCAGACTTGCTTTTGCTCAGTCACGGTAGGGATGTAGTTGGGCTGCTTTCAAGAACACCTAGTGCCTGAACCCATCCGAGCACCAGGAATACTGAAGCTTACCACTATTGCCACCCTTCACAGGCCAAGCCAAGCATGTCCTCTTCCCTTCCAACCACAGAAAAGGAGTGACGGTAAAATTACAGGCATTCTGTGCCTGGAATAGCAATGATAATTGCAACCAGGACAGGGCGGGGAAGAGAGAAAGCTCAGGGATGAGATGTTTGAACATGGCAAGAAACCTCTTCAAAGGACTTAATACAGCAGTACTAAAACACCATGTTGGTTAAGAGACAACAGAGCAAGCCACAAAAGGAACACCACAGCAGGTCTGCTGCACCAGGGCATTTAGTACACGTGTGCTCACTTCTGTAAAGAGTAAAGAATGGACCCTTCGCATATGAAGGGGAAATTTCCTTATGCATTGGCTCAGGGCCAAACTCTGCCGGGAGCGAGGCACATATATGGACAAGACAGAACTCCTGTCTGCACAAGGCTACTTTCCCAGTGGGGCTCAGACACAAGGTGGACTTTTGACAGATGGCATCAGAAGAGTCAGGAAAGCCTTGAGGGACTCTGAAATGTTAAGGTCATACCACTGTACATGCGTTAATCCCAACCTCATGAGCTAGGTGTGTGCTGCAGTTCAGCATAAAGGAAGCATCGATTGTGAGACTGTGTACAGGCAACCAGCTCCTGAGAATCTCAGTTTGCATGCATCCTTTCTCTCTTTCTTCCTTCTAGCTCTAAGGATATTACCTGATTAAGATTTCCAGTGGGGACAATACCTCCCCTGAGTAGTGAGCAGAAGTTACAAAAAGGAGAAAATATGAGAAATAAAAATTGCATAAGTTATATGGGTCAGAGAATTCAGCTATTTTGCATAGAATGTGGACTTGTCAAGCACAGGATGCATTCATTTATGTTATCACTAGAGAGTACACACAAGGATGGAGGGTGCTTAACTATCTTCTTTCCATTTAGGGCAGCAGTTGCCAGCCATTGCATCAACAAAGACCGTGTCCCCTTGGTGCATTATCTGCCTGTGGCTGGGATCTCCCATGTTCATAGACACACTCTCAATCCTTCACACCTGCTCTTCTCTCCTTCCCTGGGCAGAATGAGGGTATTTCATCCCTGCCCAGGAAGGGCTGCCCTTTGAAAGTGCACATGCAGAAGAATGCACACTCAAAGAGCCTCTGCTTTCAGGGCAATGGAAGAGATAACTCGACCCATTAAACTGACTGGCACTTCTTTGCAAGATGTTGTTTTGCATGGTTTAGGAGTAAAAGGCAGGGCAGATGGGTCGTTCTGTGCAGCCAAGTATTTGCACCAGAGAAAAAAGAGGGGGTAGGGTGTGTGCAAAGGGTTTTGCCATTCCTTACCGTAACGGCTCAGTGAATGGGTGAAAGTGAAGGAGCTGGCAATATTATAGCCCGATGCCTGCCTAGGAACCAGTGCCACTGCAGAGCCATCTGATACCTGCATATTGAATTGCAAGGACGGCAGGAACAGAAGAGGAAAATATGGGTGTGAATATGGAGTGGAAGAAGAGAACAAAGACTGAATAATGATAACAACAACAATGCTAACGATAACGGACAATAGTAATACCACCACCAATGTAACATTTCATGCATACATGACATTTTGCATATATTATCCCAGTAATCTTTAGCATGGCTCTCTAAAGTAGGCTAGGGCAGGGAGAGTGGAAATGCCAAATTTATAGGCAAGATTGTAAGAGCAGTGGTTTGACTGAAGGCCACCTAAGCAAAGTCATGAGGGAGGCAGGAGTTGAACAGGGGTTTTCCCAGCTCTTAAATGTAGCCACTAGGATATAGCAGCTCCTGTCACAGAATAAAAGAACTAAGATAATCCCCCAGGAGGCAGCTGATCATGGAAGCATCCGAAACTTCAGAGGACAAGATCCTGTGCCAAGCCACATGCTGAGGCCCAACGTTCTCTCTTGGCCAGCACAAACACATGCGTACAGCCCCTCCACCCGCTCTCTGCTACCCCTCAAATCTGCAGTGGTGTCCAAATCATTATTTACTTCACACTGACTGCAGGCAATGCTACTAAGAAATGTGGAGCTGCTTTCATATGTCAAGCCACCCGATCACTGGAAGGCAACAGAAACTGCTCGTTCCCAAATTCTACAGGATTTTCCATTTTTAGGTGGGGCCTCGAGCTGTAGCATTCCTCTTTGTACAGTTAATTCAATTCTGGGATAGACAGGGAAGGCAGTTACCTGATAATGGGCTAACGTGTTGAGATGTTTCCAGTCTCCCTCAATCTTGCTTGTGGCATCCTCGTCCTGCAGGATGATCCGGCCCCCACTACCCTGACACCACTCTAGGATGCACAAGAGGAAGAGACAGGGGGCTTTATCCAGCTGAAGCAAGGCCCAGTTCTCCAGGCCCACTCCATCCTCCCAGCCCCACCCGCTTTCCCCCATGTTTCTAACTTCTTACCCAGCTCCATGTCCTCCGCACGCGGACGCTGCGAATAGGGCACCCCTCGGTACACAGCATCCAGCAGCTTCTCCTTCACTTGCATCACTGAGTCACAATTTAATACCTTGACAGGCACGGAAGGGCCCCCAGGGGGCTCAAGAGGGGTACATAATAATGTCTAGGAGGGGGAAAAATGTTTCAGTTTTCATAGCTTTGAGGCCCACATATCCCTACATTTATAAGCACTTAGGGTGTGGGAAAACAATAGACTTCATCCCGCTTTTGTCCGCTTCAGTGTCTGAGAAAAAGATGACAAGCATGCTTCTATAATCCTATATTTTGATTTATCCCTGGAAGTGGACTTGAAGACATTTTGCATATTGGATATCCCATTACTGTAAAACAAACATGGAAGTAGCAGAGAAGGCTGCATCCTGCCTCTGCCAACATGCAAACAGGCAAAGGCTCATCCATTTCCGTCTGGAAAAAGTACAAAAAATATTCTTCCTGGGCCACTCTGCTGTTTGTTCCCTGTAGGTGCCTACAAGCAGCACCTCTTGCTCTCTGCTAGAGCCCAGTTTGCACCTCACACACAGCCAGCAACTGCTGGTACCACTGCCAACTTCATCCTCCCATTCTCCCCCCAGCCACCCCACACTCCACTCTGCTTTGCATGTCTCATCCTCCATGGTGCATGTCCCACCATCCCAGCTGTATTCACAGCCCTGCTTTCTCCAGGCTAGTCCCATTTTGGGTTTCAATAAATCCTCCTATGGAGTAAGGCTTTGAGTCTTTAGAAAGTGAGGTTGCTTGTGGGACACGGAGTCCTCCATGCCACCAAGGCCTAAAGTGCAGAATAGCTTACGCAGAAGGCCCATTGTCCCTCACGCTGGCATGGGAGAGGAAGGAGCTGTCCCTGGTGAGGAAGCAAAGGGTGCTGCTCCTCATCCTCTGAGCTCACCAAGGTCTTGTAATCAATCTGCTGGCGGATGAGCTTGTCTTCACTCAGCGAGTAGCGAGCCTCGCCTGTGATGGCATCTATTGGACCTTTCTCCATCTGCTGCTTAATGGCACAGAACAGCATGAAGAGTGGCTCTCCAGCACACTCCTGTGGGGTGAAGAGACAGGATCACAGACAGGGAATGCAAGAAGTTCCCTCACTCCAAGTCAGACAATTGTCCCAACTAGGCCCACATGCTCAGCTCTGACACCTTTCGCATCAGCTGCTCACCCAGTCTTCTCACTGGAGATCCTGGAGTCTGAATCTACGACCTTCTGCATGCAATGCACCGAGCTACTGCCCCTTCCCAAAATATGGCATTTTCTCTTCCCTTCCCTACCAGTGGGGCAGATACGATGATTAGAATTTGTCAGGTTTCAAAGGCTTCCTCAGCCCTCTTACATTTCCTGATCTCTGGCAGAAGGAGGTCTAGCACACAGATGTCTGAGGCCTTGTTCCCACATGCTCTCACCTTGAGGAACCGGTGTAGCAGGAACGTAAACCAATTGGTCAACATCTTTTCAGCCACCGACTCCGTCCTGAGGGGTAGGGGAAGGGAGAGAGGAAGAGAGAAAAAGGGAGAGAGAGAGAGAACACTTACTATTTTGTGAAAAATTAAGTTCTGAACATCCAGCCCCATAAAAGGAAAAAATGGAGACATTTGGAAGTCCCTGTCAAGTGTACAAGAACCCTGCCCACCCTCTCTGCCCTGTTTTCACAGTGCAGACCCCAAGGGACTTCAAACTCTTTGCATACATGAGAATACTTGGAATTTTCAAGTAATGAGCACTGTGAGCACTCTCACAAAATGGCTACCATGGGAAGGATTTGCCCACTGAAAAAATGGCTGCCATGGTAGCAAGACCAGTCACAAAACACCCATTTCCCAGAAGGCAACTGATAAGACTAAAAGAACAGCAGCTTGCCCCAGAGCTAAAGTACAAGGAAGAGGTGGGGTTTGTGCATCAAAACAGAAACACAAGATAGTATTGACACCACACTGGAGACCCTCACTAAAGGTACCTGCTAAGATAATGAACACATTTGAAAAGTATCAGGAGAGGAATGGTAACAATTCCAACCTCTTATCTGAAAAAAAGGAAGAAATGTGGGGAGCCTAAGTCATGGTGATGATAGTGCAGAGTCAGAGGGAGAAAAGATGATACGGTGAGCAGGGTTGGAAACTAGTAGTAGATCTGGGTGGAGCAAAGGACGAGGAAGCGCCATCTGCAGCAATAGGCTAGATCAAGACATTGCCACATGATTCTTGGCCTTAGTTATTCTGGTATCTTCAGTGAAGAATTTGGAGAAGCAACGAAGGGCACTACGGCACTTCCTTGGTGCCAGAGTAGGTGCTAAAATAGCTGTTGCTTGAGCTAGGGATGATGAAAGTAGCTGCTCACCGGCGGAGCAAGAGCTTGGGATGGGCACGATTCTGTAGGTTCTTCTCAATGAGGTCAGCTAGCAGCTGCTTTAACACTCCAGTTGCGTAGTCAAGCCTGCCCTGCAGGGCCACCATGGTCAGAGAAGCAACAGCCCCACGGTCCCGCATGGAGAAGCCACGCTGGCCCTCCAGTGTGTGGATGAAAGTCAGCAGGAATGGCCGTGTGTGCAGCAGCTGCCCAAACAGACGGAGCCCCTTCTCTGTGCTCGGCGGGGTCTGCAGAGGTAAGGAAATAGAAAACCCCATAAGCCAATGGGGGAGCTGGGGCCAGTATTCAAAAAGGCAAGCAGAAATTACAAGACACACAATAGCTTTACATGTGCCGGAGTAGCTGCCACTCACAAAAGTGGACAACAAAAGAAGGAAGGGCCTTTGAAGCACTTGATTCCAAATGTCTTCATCATCATCATCAGGGGACACAGCCAGCTTTGTTGGATCAAGTCTAGGGGTGGGCAAGAGGAAGATCTCCTGGTGTTTGAAGTTCAACCCCCAGAACCCTCTGGCAGCACAGCCAATTGCCAAGAATGCTGGGAGCCAAAGTCCAAAATGCCTGGCTGTCTATTTCCAGCCTGTTCCTCATCTACTCCACCATTCAGTTTCTGACAGCAGTATGGCAGATGCCTCTGGGCACTCACAAGCAGGACACGATGAAGGTGCCAGAGCCTTCCCTTCTTTGCCTCAGTGTCTGAGCAGCCATCACCCACACACTAAGAGAGTTTGAGCACTGTCCTGTGTGGAGCAGAGCAACCCAGCCCCACCAAAGCAGGAACAGAACCTAAAAACACTTTTAGACAGACATCTCCTAGCATTATCAGTTATGAAGCACTGCATGAGTATGAACGTATTTTCTTCTGGTAGGATGAAAGGTGGAAGCAGCACTGGAAAAACATGGGACAACTATAAATGGAGGTATGAACCCCTGCAGAATCTCATAAATGAAGCAGGGTGCCTACACAATCAAAGCCTTGCAGGAAAGCATCCTAACTGAGCCCCAAGTTCATGAAAAAGCATCTGACTAAGGGGTGCATGAAAGGAGGAGGGGATTGACACCGAAAATCTACAATTTGCAAGAACCCAGGACAAATATCAAAGGGAGATCTGCAGATTTAACTTCTCATCTCTCACCTTCCTCTTTTCCCACTTGTTAAGGGAAAAACCCATCCCTGGTCCCACCTCTCATGCTGCTCTGAGAGCATGATGCTAATAGGCAGCGTTTAAACCAATTTAACAAACAAGCAAATAAATAAATAAAGTCTGGTACTCACACTGGTTTCCTGCAGTGCCGGGTGATCATCCACCCCTGGGAAGAGCACACGTCTTGCATATGTCCGATAGTCCAAGAAAGGAATCTTCACTCCATCCATGTTATTTGTTAGCTCATTAATGTCTGTCTGCAGCTCAGCAAAAGCTGAAGAAGGCAGAAGACTGTCAAAAGCCTTGGGACGCAGGCACAGCGTGGCGATCCTCTCTATTTCTTCCCTCCCCGCCAGGCTTTTGACCCCCAAGGGAGCCAAAATATGAGGCACACAAACCACACCTTCTCCCAATAGTGCTCGCCTCTCTGAACATGCCTGGTTTAGCAGCAACCAACCAAGGCTCTCCTGTGTGGGAACAGGCTTCCAATCATCATGTCTGGTGATTGCATGCCATACATGTATTTTGGAAAGGCGCACATGTGGCAGATGGCCAAAAGCAGCTCTGGCCAAGACCCACCTTGCTGTAGAGCAGTGGTCCCCAAACCTCTTTGAGCTGCCACTCTCTTTCCTCTTGGGTGACAAACCAAGCACCCCCATGCCTCTTTCTTTGTATTAGATCTATTGTTATACTGCAAATTTAAAACAACCAATCACTGCACCTCCCGGATCTTTCCACCACCCCCAGGTGGATGGTACTGCCCATTTTGAGAATCACTGCTGTAGAGGACGCTAGACTCTCAGCATCCTCTTGAAGTGAGTGCATTTCTCATCAGAGACTGTAAAACATAATCCATGGCCATTATGCCTACATCAGAACTTGCAAACCTTTGCTCTTCCTCTGGCCCCACACATGCATACCCCAGGAATACCTTCCAATATTTAACACAGATAATGGGGACACTTTTGTGGCTTTTTAAGGCCCCCAGTTTCACAGCAGCAATAACTGCCTGATACTGTGTGTGACAAGGTGGGACACTATCATGTACTCCTAAAGACTCTATGCCTGCTCTTTTGCTTTGCTCTGAAACAGCCTGGCCTGAACAGATTTCTGAAACAGGCAGAGTTGACCCTACCATTTGGTAAAGTGAAGGGGCTGCCTTAGGCAGCTGTTTCTGGGCAGTCCAAAAGGACAGCAAATTGCCAGTAATGTGATGATTGTATTACTAGATTTGCAGCCAAGGAGTGGGGAGATATGCTTAAAGATTTTCTGCTGCAAGTGGCAGAACTGGCTGGCTGGCTGGCTGGCTTTGGGTTCTTTGTATCTTGACCACAGAGATGAAGACAAAGGGTTGCCTACTTGCTGTCTTGCTTCTGGTACTAAAGTGTCTTGGACCAGCTTTGTGAAATTATTCTTGCTGCATAGGCAGTTATGGTATGGGTGGAGGAGAACAAAAGGAAAGCAGTGCATTGGTATTTTGGTGGTTTTTTTAAAATGTCAAGCAGTTTCTATTTTTCAGCTAAAAAAAAATAAAAATGTAACTATTATTCTTATCTCCTCACAAACTCAGGTTGTATTATGCCCAACCAAGCAACTGTTTTCAAAGAGAAAGCTTCATCAGAGCATTTATTCCTTCAGTAAGAGACACATTAAGTGCCTGTCTGTACAGGGTTGGAGAAGACTGGCATACAAGATGATGGCGGAGCTTTTCCTGAATTGCTCATTAGTGAACTCAGTAAGGCCCTGCCATGCTGCAGAGGAACAGTGCTGGGTTCATCCCCTTGTAAGTCACGTCTGCTGCATTCATTTTACGCGATAGTGCAGTGAATGCATTGGCAATGTGCCTGTGCATAAATATTAAGCAGCATAGAATTGGAATGAAATACATACATACATACATAGAGACCTAGTGGGGGACTAAACCCGAAGGGCTCTTTGTACTTGGACATGTACTAAAGACTGTGCAAAAAAGCAGACACCCCCAGTATCTCCATAAAAGATGACACAGGGATACCTGGAGGGAAAGCCTCAGCGTGATAGGAACTGGCGACTGCCACAGATTAGTTGTTTCATTAAAATGGGGTGCCTGAGAGGACTACCTGTCTTTTCTATCTGAAAGGAGCTATCCCACACTCCAGGAGCAGGAGTGCTTCTGCCAAAAGCTGCACTCTGAAGCAACATCTGCCAGGCCACTGCTCACGCTTCTGCTTGGGCACTACACAGAACTAGCAGAGAAGGGCACCTTTTCTCCTAAGGACTGCTCAAAGAGGAGATGCCAGTGCAGATGCTGATGCACTGAAGAAACAATCATCAGCCCTGGGTAGGAAGGCAACATCCCTTCTCCCTCCTCCATTCACTTCCCAGAAGCTTCATGGCTTGAGGGAGTCTTTCTTTCCCCACTCCCTCAATACCTTCTTTGCACTCCAGGGCCACACGTGACTCCAGGTTGTCCATCTGAAGCTGCAGACGTTTCAGTGTACGGTCAGCATCCCGTGTCTTCCGCTTATAGGCCACCAGCACCCCAATGATGGCTCCCAGAAGCAGGCTTCCTCCTGCACCTAACCCAACGAGAGCTGGCAGAGGCAGGGCAGCTTCAGGGTAGATGTGCAGGATCCCCGGGGAAAATGACAGCCCCCCTACCAGGATCTGCAAGGAGAAGAGCTTCAGGTTAAGCTGGTCATGAGAACCACCCTGCCAGACCTGACCAAGCACTCATCTTATAGGCCATCATTTGGTTTCTAACTGCAGTCCATTAGATGGCCTTCTGAGCCCACAACTAAAGCATTAAGGCAACTGCCCCTACTTTCTCATTTGCCCTTCAGCCAATACCCAGCAACTCAAGAGGTATATGATCTCCACACAGAGGTCCAGGTAGCAGCACAGTTCAGTTAGAACCCTCAAAGCCACTTTGGATTTGTCCACAGTGTTCTTAGAACCCAAGTGACTTCAACATTCCAGGTATTTTGGGTGCTCCAGTGTACAAACATTTTGTTAGTCTACTGTAGCCTCCTTCATCCTTGTGCCCTACAGATGTTTTGGACTTCAACTCCCATAATCAGTTAGTAATGTTATTTTAATTGTTGATTGTATTTATTGATTTTATATCTGTGCCGAGATGTCTCCGGATTTTTAAGGTAATTGTATAATTGTTTATTTGTTTTGTAAGTCGCCCTGAGGCTTTTTGTGAATGGGGCGGCATAGAAATGTCCTAAATAAATAAATAGTATAAGTTGGGGCCATTGGGAGCTAGAGGCTAACATATCTGGAGGACACCAAATTAGAACAGCTGAGCAGACATGCTGAGCTCCATTGCTAATCATGCCCTTGAACAGTTCTTGGGAGAAATAGAAGGAGCAGACTTCCTTTCGGGCATTGCACAGGTTCCACTTGCACCCAACTGCCTGCAAAAGGCCCCCTCCAGACCAGCCCTGACCAGACTATGTGGCATTGGCAAGGTATTCCAGCATGAGATCCCATTTGTTCAAGCGCACCCCCACCCCCAACCTCCTTAAGTCAGGTGTACCGTGACAGGCTGCTCCCCGGTCTGGCTGGGCGAGTCACACAGCAACTGGGTTTCAGAGACGGTCAAGGTGCAGGGCTCCCCACCAATCAGCACTGTATAGTTGAGCCTTGTGCTGCCTGACACAGCTGGGATCAGGTTCCTGCCCTGAGAGAGACGGGGATATGAGAGAAAGAAATGGGGCCATCCCATCACATGACTCTGTGTTTAAACCCAGGCCTAAGAGGGCACCCCTTGGCTCAGATATGCTTGCCAGGGAAGATGTCGGTTTTGTCACAGCACCTCTGCATTCCCAACCAAGCTGGCAAAAATGCGAGGTCAAATGACAAAACGATTGAGTCAAACCAGTGATGGGGAGGACTGGGGAGAAGTTCCATGCCCTTCTCCTTTCACCAAGTAGTACCCAAACACACACAGCCAGTCTTTGCTTCTATAAGGCCTAGAAATTTGCTTTTTTCTGAAAACAACAGCAACCAAAAATATAAGTTGCTCAAAATAAATTCCTGAGTTCCTGATCAAAACTGTGCCTTTCCATTATACAATCACAAAAGACAAGCAGCCCAGCTCACATGCCCTTCTTTCTTTTTTGGCATGCTCATCTCTAACCAAAAGGAGATGTCATGTTGGACAAAATTGTCCGCTGTGATTTTGACTTTCTGTAGACTTTGGGGAGGCTGTCATTTTCTTGACTGGGGGAAGGCTTGTTACAATTCTGTTTTGAGACACAAACAGGGTCAGGTACCTTGAGAACTACATGAGATCCAGGTTTAATTTCCAGGATGCCGCTGGTGCCAAATGGCTCAAAGCTGGGGTTGGGGTAATAGGTAAAGGCTGAGCGGTTCAGAGTACGGGTGGCAGCCACATCGTCCAAGAGGAAGCCAAACTCATCAGGGTGAGCTCCCCCAAGGGGCAGCGCCTGCTCCCCAGGCACAATGCCTGGGGCTTTGCACAACATTACCGAGTCATTTACCACCTGGCAACTCTGCAGGGAGGCAAAAAACCAAACAAACAAAGAGTATGAGAACCACAATTGAGGGCAATACAGAACAGTGCTCTGAAATGACTTTTATTTTACACCTGCCCTCATCCCCTTTCTGATTTATGAAAGATTAATATTCCTGACCTGCAGTCTTTGCATCCATTTCCATTCTAAGGAAAAGTATCATTTCAAGGGCTTGGTAGGAAGAAGAATTCCACCCTCACTCCCCACACTGCTCCAGGTCTCCTATTTTTATTCTGGGCTTGGCACAATGATAAGTATGTTTAAGGACACTGTACTTACGGAGGCCAGCATCAGAAATATGTAATCAGGAAAAAGCATATGGTGGCTGGGGGGTGGGGGGGCCTCTTCTGAACATTACCAGTGAGACTGCAAACTGGGTGATCAGATGTTTGAATGCATCCTCAGGCTAGAACCTTTTGCTCCGACACCACAGGAAGTGGGCTATTGTTGTTGTTGGTGTTATTATTATACAAGAGAATAATCACACATGGCACTCCCACACCAACTTGATATAATATAGTCCAAAGACCTGTGCCAGGCAGTTCTGATCAAGTCCTCAGCTTGCAACTGAACCCAAACGCATCACAACATTCCTTCCCTACCCACAAATATCTTTTTTGGGATACTTTCCTTTCCTCTGGGGCCAGAGATTGCCAAAAGTGAAGCATGGAGGTATTTTATATATTGCTTGTAATTTTTGCATTCTGTCCTTCTCCAGGAGAGATCAGAGAGAATAGCTGGGGTTTTCTCATTTTCTCTTTACAACCACCTCCTACTAGTCATTCATACTTTGATTAATCAGTTGCTTTAATTGGAATATACCCAGAATTAATACATGGCACAGCAGGAGCAGGGATCTACTTTTTCTGTCAAGCCAAATACCCTCCTGAGATAACCTGAAGGGGCCCACATGCTGGCACTGGTGAGGTGAAGCTCAAGGTGGGGAGGGTGGGACACTGCATGGATCCCACCGCCCTTTTCCACTCACTGCCACAGCAGATAGAATGAAACAAACACTTCCAGCGACAAATGCTGGGGCAGAGCAGCAGGTGACCTGGCCACAACTGCCAGAGGGGAATGTTGTGTGTGCCATGGGATGGGAACATTGTCCCGTCAATAGTATGGAAATAAGGATCAGCTGCCAATCAAGTGGGCTTGTGTATACGGAGTGGGTGAGTGCTGTCCTGTTCTTTGCCTCAGGCAGCAAAACGGCTTGGACAAGTCGCGCCCTCTGCCATCTCCCTCCAGAAGGCTGTCAACAGAGGAACAAACTGCTCTTGCTACAAGTCTGAATGGATGACCTACAGGAAGTCTCATCAGCTGAGGTCAAGATCACTCAAACTGAACTAATTACTCCTCTACTTTGGGCAGCAATTTCTCCTTCTCTCCCACCCTGTTCGCTTTCCACTTGTTAAGACTTTCAAGACTCACATTAATGGTTTCTATTCCACCGTAAGCGGCTCGAACCCGTGGTTCTTGGATTGTCAGCAGATGGGTCCCGCTCACTGTGAGACTGGTACTACCACTGCAAGGAGAAGGGCAGGAAAGGAAGACATGGATTCAAATACGATGATGCAAAGGACAGGAAATCCATGGCTTTGAGAGCACCCCACTTTCTGTTCCCACCTTCATAAGAGCAACTTACTGAATCAGGAACACAGTTTGCACAAGTGCAGTCCTATGCAAGCAAATAGAGGAAAGTTTTCATACAATAAAGTGAAAAACTTGTGCTCTCTACTCCCTTTTATAGTTCAGCTATCCAGTGCTTCTTACTTTCTTTGAAACTTCATGTTTCTTGGTAGTGTAAAAGCAATCCTAAGAATTTTGACATGTCCATGAGACAGAGGTTTGTGTGCAAGTTTGTGTGCCTGTACAAATTATATCACACATACACATATATGTTTTTTCACCTGATGAATGACCCTACCATCTACATTTTGTCCTCTCAATGCCTTTAAACTTGAAATATATGTCTATAATTCAGAAATCTGTTTTTAATAATTGCAATATAATACTCGCCTTTGGAATAATATAAAGGGGAGAGAGAACAAGAAAAAGGAAAAGAAGAAAGGAGAGTCACAGCATATGTGCTTTTACACAGGCACACACTCCAATCAAAACAAACAGGAAGATGGAAACAGACTACATCATCTCCCACCCCAACTACCCTGAAATGTTGGATGAAGCATTAGTGTCTGGAGCGAAGGGTCAGAAAACATTTTTATAAGAGGAGGGAGGGAAGCCCTATCTTCCTGTTAAGAGTCAGGGGCTGGGAGGAAGCCTCAGGATCTTCCCCAGTAGGAACAGCTGAGGGAGGAGCTCAGCAAGGAAGTATTGGCTAGTTTATTATGGCAACTTCACATGGCACTCTTATCACTTACTTGGCAATGCTCCAGGTGGGCTCTATTGCTGTGACTACTGGGTCAGGACTGTACCGGAAGGAGACGGTGCCGTTTGCACTGATGTTTGCACGATCGATGCGCAGGCTAAGATTGGCAAGGCCTGGGCCTAGTGCTGAGTGGGGAGACAGGCAGACAATCTCCCCTGCGCTACGCCTGGGCAGAATAAGTGCAGGGGAGAGGGATGGGGAGAGAGTTAGTCACCATCTTGAAAAGCGCCCCCATCACAAATAAATTAGCCTTAAAGATAAACTCCCACCTTCCATTCCCCTCCCTCATCCTCTCTGTACCCTCTGAGTGTATACAGATTGTGCCCCTCCCATCATATAACTTAGATCTCAGGTCTTTCAATTATTTTATTTTCTTTATATCCATAAACAAACTGAGGGGATATCTGGTACAGAGTCACCAAGGGACCTAAATGACCGAGTGCAGATTTGAATCAAGGCCTAGTCTGATAACCCACTCATTTAATCAAGTAATTCTCCATTTATTGGTTCTACCTAGAAAATAGCTGCTGCAAACAATTAATGTGGTCCAGAGGATTAAACAAAATAAGGGTACCTGAATGACCTGCATTGATCACACTGGAACAGTTACAGAAAAAGCTTTATAACATCAAACACACAGAACATGTTCTTTTCTCTTTCTGCAATACTATCTTGAACCTAGCTACCGAAACATGAATATCTGATAGTAAGTACCTGATCAACCGACATGGTGCGCCACGGATTGCAACACTGACATTGCTCCCAGCATCCAGATGGGTCCCCAAGAGACTGATTTTTGTCCCACCTGAGGTGGGACCTTGTTCTGGGTCCACTCCATAAAAGCTTGGTGTCTACATGGGTAGAAATTGGTAACAAATTGCCTTCTGAACTTCACCAATCAAATAATTCCCCCTTTCCCAAGTTGTTTCCTTTTCAAGACTGAAATAACTACTTCTGGGATCCTGGACCCAGAAGATTATGCCTCCCTCTGCCCACAAATGCACTCTGATATTTAAAATGCAAGCGAACAATTTCTTTGGTACTTTAATGCCTATTATCTAAATTAAACTGAGTATAGCCTCCCAGCCCAGACCTTGCTTACCACAAAGGTGAAGGGAGTATCTGACTGGGTCCGGTAGTCAGCACTGCAGTCACCCACACAGAGTTCTACAGGCCCAGGAGGGGGGTCAGGCAAGAGCGAGGGTTCCAGTTCACAAACCAGCCTGAGGAGAGGCAGTGAGATTTGTCAGGAGATCAGAGCTCCCTTTTCCCCACAAATGCCCCCAGGCCTATCTCCCTCTTGCCCTTGTAGTATCCCCACACCATCCCACCATTTGCCTCTCCTGCTCCATGCAGGAAGGACTTGAGGTCTGGCCAGAACTTCTTCCTGAGTTGGTTCGTCTGTTAGGCAGGACCAGCCCAAGACATTCTGCTGCCTGAGGCAAAGGACAAGATGGCAGCCCCTCCCATTCCACAAACAAAAGCCAACTCTTTCTTCAGCACTAGCAAATGTGCCGCATCCCCCGCTAGAGGGGTCCCTAGTCTTTTTTTTTGCTCATGGGTCCCCTCTGAGCTTCATTTACCTCAGTGAACCTCCTTGTAACTGTTGTTAGCTGGAAAAAAGGTACATTACCATCTGCACTGTTTATTAGTCTAAACTGGTTTCTAATGCAGATAAAATTTAATGTTTAAAATTACATTACAAACTGACTTTTTCATTAAGGTAGTTACTGTAAATTGTAGTAGTTTTCAATGTTTATGCTGCAGCAGTTAGCACAGAGAATGAGATGTGAGGATTAAGACAAACTGATTGTATGCCTGGAGGTTAAGACTGGCTTGCCCCACAGAAATATGGCACCTAATGTGGCCCCCTAGAAATATGGCATGGCCCCCTGGGGGTGCATTTGGCCCCCATTGAGAACCACTGCTCTACTGCACCTGAAGGCAACAGGCTAGTTTAGGGGGTACACACCAGGCTGCCAGTCCACATGCTCTCTCCCTCATCTTCCTGCCACCTCTAATCTTCTGAATACAGCTAGCACCCCTCCCTCAGAAGTATTTTCTCAAGTCCTGAGAGATGTCTTCTGTCTCCTCAGCATTACTGTTTTCAGAAAGGTCTTCAGCACATCCTCTAACTTTGCCAGGATACCAGGAATACTTTTGGCATGGCCTAACCTCTCCTCCTCAAGTCTCTTTGCCAAAGACAGGACCAGAATGCCTGCCTCCCAGCACAAAAAAAGAAGTATAGATAGGTTTCTCCAATTGCGGGGGAGGCTGGCACATCAACTTTGATTTAGACTAGGAGGGCACTTTCCCCAAGTCTGGATGCCCAAATTGTCTTCAGACAAGTTGCAATGAGCTTAGCACAATGTGGATCTTGCTTACACATACAAATACTTCAGAGCTTTAAGCCATGAGTCCTCAAACTATGGCCCGGAGGCTGGATCCAACCTGCCATTTATCCGGTCTGCCTCAGAGGTTTTCAATGCGCCGTGCGCGCACTCGCATGGGGAGGCGGCGGCTTGCTCGTTCGGAGATCGTTTTGGACTCACTCGAAGAAAACGATCTCCAAGCGAGCAAGCTGCTGCATCGCGCGCGCACCACTGTTGAATTGCAGCATGTGCCCACCCCCACTTTGCCTCGCCTTGCCTCACCGCACCAGCCCGCGCGCCCCACCGGCACCTTTCAACTGATCCCTGGTGAAAAAGGTTGAGGACCCCTGCTTTAAGCTATCAGAAACTCAAGCCCAGTTTGACATGTTAGTTCTTGGAGCTTTATGTCAGGGTTTACCTGAGAGAAAGAGAATAATTGGGAGTGGGAAACCTATTTCTCAAGCAGGGTTTAAGTGGGAAATACGCCACATATATGTGAATTCAGACAAACAGGGCAAGCAGAGACAACAGGTCCTATTTTAAGAGACAGAAACATAATTTGTTGACCTTCTATGCAATTTAAACATATATTCTGAACATACAACTGTGCAGATGAAAGTATATCTTTTCATAAAGAATCAACTGCATGGCCTTAAACTCATTCTATTGAATATATTTTCCAGTCCTGTAGCCCAATCTGGTACCCTCCAGATGTTTTGGACCTCAGCCTCCATCAGCCCCAGACAGCATGCCCAATGGCCGGGAATTAACATCCAAAACTTCTGGAAGGCAGAAGGGTAAGGAAGACTTGTAGTCTCTCTTCTTACATTTCTTTTGTAATTTTGTTAATAATAAATAACATTGTTAATGGTAAATCTCCCAGATGTAAGAGAAAGTCAGGTTGCTTACCTGTAACTGTTGTTCTTTGAGTGGTCATCTGTGCAGTCACACATAATGGGTGCTGTGCCTGCACAGTGCCTGTTGCCAACCAGAATACCCAAGCTGCAATGGTTTTTGGCGGGAACTCCGTACCCCTCCCCTCTGGTGCTATATAAGGCAGAGCGCCCGCCATGAGTGCGTGGGAAAACACGGATGAACCCAAGAGGAGACCGCGGAAGTGCGATATGGCTGCAATATAGACCTTGATCGACGTGGGTTTAAGTCCAGACTGATGCAGGGAGAGCAAGAAGGAGAGGATATTATCGACGGAAGCTAATTCCGGAGTAAAATAATTGGCTTTCGCAAACGTGGTGAAATCTCTCCATTTCTCCTCATAGGATCGGTGAGTGGGCGGTCGAAGGGCAGATTGTAAGATAAAGTCGATTTCCTGCTGTGATGTAGCTTCGGAAGATATTCGGGTAGGTTCTTCTGGTACTGAATGACATTCTGGCGTCGGGACCGAGGAATCCTGTTGAAGTACGTTGGAGTCGACAGAGGCAGTTAGTGCAGGAGCCACGCGGTAAGGTTGAGAGTGTTGAGGTCAGGGTGAAGTATTGTCCCTTTCCCTTGTGTAATCAGGTGGGGATCCGTGGTAGATGAAAGAACATGTGTTTTGACAGCCTGAGAGCGGTGGAGAACCAAGGTTGGTGGGGCCACCAAGGAGTAATGAGAATCAGGTGTGCTCGGTCCCGAGCAGCCTTCTCTAAAGTGTGAGTGATCAGCGGGATCGGTGGAAAGGCGTACAGGAATGAATCTGACCAACTCACCATCAAGGCATCCCCTAATGAGTTCGGACCTGTTCCTGCCCTGGAACAATAGGTCACACATTTTGAGTTTGACGCTGTCGCAAACAGATCTAGTGTTGGGGTACCCCATCGGGTAAATAAGTCTCTGCACACTTGATCGTCCAGTTCCCACTCGTAGGTAGACAACATTTTCCTGCTCAGGGTGTCTGCTTCTTGGTTGTGTATTCCCACCAGATGGATTGCCGTTAGTGAGATCCCTCTGGGGATACACCAGTCCCAGATCTGTATGGATAGCTGAGCCAATGGTACCAATTCCGTGCCGCCCTGTTTGTTCAGGTAAAACACAGTAACCGTGTTGTCGGAGGCTACCTGTACCAATCGGTTTCGTAGTACAGGTTCGAAAGATCGGAGTGCTTTGAAAACTGCCAGCAGCTCGAGAATGTTGATGTGATTGAAACTCTCGTGTGCTTGCCAGGTGCCTTGTGTTCGTAGGTTGGAACAGTGTGCTCCCCATCCCATGAGAGATGCATCGGTGTGGAGCGAGATGGAAGGCTGTTGCTGGTGAAATGGAACACTGACTGTGAGATTGTCTGGGTTCATCCACCAAGTCAGCGTCTGGCGAACTGAAGTAGGGGAGAAGCTGTCTTGGGGAATCGCGGAGGGGCTGGAAAGCCACACTGAACCACAATTGGAGTGGCTGCATTTGTAGTCTGGCATTCAAGACTACAACGATTGTGGAAGCCATGTGGCCCAACAGTTTTTGTATGAGCAGCGCCCGGATCCGACTACTTCTCTGGACCTGATGGGCTACTGAGAGAGTCTGTCCATATGGGTCCATGGCAAGTATGCCTGTGCTTGAACCGAATCGAATTGCGCTCCTATAAATTCGATGACCTGTGAAGGAGTGAGACAGGATTTTTCGGTGTTAATAAGGAGCCCCAAGTTCCCCAGAAGAGTGCATGTAGTGTTAACATCTGCAACAAGTTGGTCCCAAGAAGAAGAGACGATAAGCCAATCGTCCAAATATGGATAAAGCTGAACTCCTCACTGGCGAAGGTAAGCACATATTGGAGCCATACACTTCGTAAATGCCCTAGGGGCTGTAGGAAGTCCGAAAGGGAGTACATTATATTCAAAAATGTCGGAACCGACTGTAAACTGGAGGAACCTCCTATAAAACGGGTGGATGCTGATATGAAAATAGGCATCCTTCAAGTCAGTGGAAACGAACCAATCATCTCTCTCTAGCAGAGGAAGGATGATTTGTAGGGTGGTCATACGGAATGTTTTAGTCGTGATAAAGGCATTGACGCCTCTTAGATCAAGTATGGGGCGTGAGCCGCCATCTTTCTTCAGTACCGTGAAATATCTCGAGTAGAAACTGCAAAGTTCATCTGAGTAGGAGATTTGGCGGATTGCTCCCTTCTGAAGTAATTGAGATACTTCTTCTCTAAGGATTTCCCATGGGGCGGTGTATAACATCGGTCCCGAAGAAGGAACAATATCGATCTCGATTCTGTATCCAAACTCAACTATAGAAAGGACCCATTTGTCAGATGTGATGGTCTCCCAAAGAGGGAGTCGGCTTTGTAGCCGGCCCCCATAGGGAGGGGGGAGGGGTATAGTGGGATGGAGAAGATTGGTTCGCAGTGTCTGTCAACATTGCCTCTTATCGGCAGGTTGGCGGCGGCCCTGTTGATACTGGGCAGCCAGTTGGGAATAGTTCCGCTGTTGCTGCTGGGGGAACTGTTGTTGACGTGGCTGGTATCGATGCTAAGGCTGATATCTAGGGTATTGGGATTGTTGCCACTTACGGCGGTTCAAGATGGGGATTTCCATCTTTCTGGCGGTGGCTCGAGCATTATAGATATGCTCGAGCTTGTGATCCATCCGATCATGGAAGAGGCCCATCGAATGGCATCCCCTTGATCCGTTTCTTGGTCTCTTCTGGGAAGTTGCATGAGCGCAGCCAAGCATGTCTTCGGAGAGCAACTGAGCCAACTAGAGCGCGGGAATCGCAGTCGACATGATGGCGGGCTGTGGTGAGCTGCTGAATCGCCAGCTGCATCGGCTCTCTTATGAAGACACGGGCGAGATCACGTTGTTGCTCTGGGATGGACGAGGTAATCAAGTCCAGTCGCTGCATCAGAAAATACTGATACCTCTCCATCGTCTGCTCGTAATTAGAAATTCTCGAGCCCCATCCCATTGCCGCATAAATTTGCCTTGCCATGAGGTCGATTTTTCTCCCTTCTCTATCCCTGGGGACGAGTGGTCTCTATTATCTCGCGCTTGGAATGATTCGACCACGATTGAATTGGGCTTCGGGTGCCATAGAAGAAAGGGAATGTCCTGTTCTTTGACTTTATACATGGACTCGTACCTCCGCGATGTCGATTGAGTTTGATCAGGGGAAGTCCATGTATCTTCCATAGCCTCCTGTAAGGTTGTAATCAGTGGGATGGTAATTGTGGATGATTGCTCCTTATGGACAATATCATAGAAGTTGTCCTTATTTGTATTGGGCTGATGCTCAACCTCGATCTCCAAGGCTCTTGTCAGTCAGCCCATAAGCTCACCAAAGGTGGCTTAGGACTCTTCGGGCAACCCAGGTCCCTGGGTGGAGATGACTGCTGCAGGGGATGTAGAGCAGTCATCCGAGTCCTCCGATACCGAATCATATGGGTAAGGTGGGCTGGAAGATGAATGAGCCAGAGGAGAAGGATGGCGGGAGGTTGTTGGGGCCGAAGTAGATGGAGCTTCCATCCTGGATTGATGGGATTGATGGCTGTCATCCCTAGGCATGTAGTAACCGAATGGAGGTGGTCCCCAGTATTGAGGTTGAGATGCCTCCGGTCCTTCATACAGCATCGGTATCCATGCTCTAGTGGACTGTCCCAATGAGCGGCACTGCTGGACAGGCTCGACTGCCATAGTCCTCCTGGAAGCCTCCGGGGAGGATGGCACTGGAGTCGGCAAACGGGCTGGTTGATGGCACGGCAAGGACCTTGGGGGAGAGTCACGAATCTCCCCCTCCGACATCGACCCATGAACGATTGGTTCGGGTGGATGTAGCATAATCAGGTCCACCGGCTCAACTCTCTGTGAGGATCCTGGAGGTGTGACTTGCATCATCTCCCTCGGTGTCGGTGCCGAAGCTGTCGGGACCAATGGTGCTGTCGGGACCGACAAAACGGTTGAATCCGAATCCCTTCGTGGTTCCGGAGTGGGCCTGCGTTTCTTAGCAGCCTTGCCCAACTTATCCTTTTCAGCCTTCTTCAGGACCAATGGATCCCCGTGGTCAGAATGCTTCCGCTTTTCCTTTTGTTTGCGCAAGGAATGGGAGGAGCGAGAGATCTCCTTGGAAGCAGCTCCCTTGGATGGTCGAGGGGAGGTTACCATAGAAGGCCCGGCCGACATAGGCTGAGCGGCGAGCTCGTCAGAAGCTAGCAAGGCCTGATCCCAAAGGATCTTCCTCAGCCTATTCTCTCGATTTCTTCTGGCCTGTTTGGTAAAGGCTAGACAACGCCTGCACTTATCTGTGCGATGCCCTTCTCCTAGACAAAGGAGGCAGAGCTCGTGTGGGTCAGCTGGGGACATTTTAGCCCCACATTTTGAACACTTTCGAAAAGCCACACACTGAGCCATTGCCGAAGGGAATAGCAAAGATAAGGAGAAGAAAAAGAAGAAAATACTAACTATATGTTTGTTTGTTTTTTAATAGAACAGTAAGAAGGAAAGAAGTAATCAGGAAACAAGGAGAAATAACTTGGATTCAACTAGGGGAAAATGATTAAGAATTACCAGATACGAGAAGACAAGGTAATGGCTCGAGGCAATGTGATCGGCAGTCGAAAGAAGACTGAGGAAAATGGCGGGTGCTCCCCCTTATATAGCACCAAGGGGGAAGGGTGCAGAGTTCCCACCAAAAACCGTTGCCGCTTCGGTATTCTGGCCAGCAACAGGCACTATGCAGGCACAGTACCCATTATGTGTGATGTACAGAGACCATGAAGAAGAACTGGGTGTTGCAACTGAAAAGCACTCTGCACATGCTCAGTTAACAAGCTTCATGCATTCCAAGATGCAACACTGGCTTCTGAGGTAAGCCTTGGGAGCTAACCTGAAACAGCCACAAGCAGATGTCAAGGAATTAAACTAGTTATATAATTGCTGCCAGGGCATCATGTTTCCCTGCTGCAATGCAGCCCACAGAGACTTCTAGGTGAGAGCAGGTACAGTGGCTTCAGTGGCAACCCTATGCACACTCGTCCGGGAGTAAGCCCTTTGAACATAGCAGACGCACCTCTGAGCAAAGCTGTATAGGTTGGTTCTGCAGGAGTGCCGGACAGAAAATCCTCGGTTCAAACCTTTTCACCTCTACAAACTCACTGGTGGCTTTGGACAAGCCAAGGAGTTCACAGGCTAAGTTCAGATGATCTGGCAAGAGGCCTTCCCTGTGCATGCAGCCCCTTCTCCCCTCCCCTCACATGAGCCATGATCAGGGAGCCTCATCAGCCATAGTATCTTATTTTGTTCAAACTGGGAAACAATGGTTCCTGGCTGAGTCAGAATGCCTAAAAATTTCCTGCTTCCATTCCTGTGCTCTGCTAAGGGAGCAGTAATGGGGCTGTGTGCACATGGTGCGCATCTTGGCTGCTCCTCTTCTGATATGCCTTTCAAGGGGCCCTAGAAGGATCACATACAGCTGCACTTAACATTCCCCCCGCCTTTGTATGCCAGCTTTGGAGGTTCTCATCTGGAGCAGAAGAGCTGCAAAGAGAAGGGGATCTGTACTCTAATTTTCCATCATGGGAGAAAAAGCAGCTGAGTGGAGAAATTTAAGGGCAGGCTGGGCAGGGGAAAAAAGCAGGTTGCTTACCTGTAACTGATGTTCTTTGAGTGGCCATCTGTGCAGTCACACATATGGGTGCTGCACCTGCGCAGTGCCTTTGGCCGGAAGATTGATAGCTAGCGGTTTTTGCAGAAAGCTCCGCTCCTCCCGCCCTATCGCTTATATAGAGCGGAGCGTCCGCCATTTTGTTCCGTCTTTGAAGACTGGATGTTCGCCCCCATGTGGAAAAAAGGAGTTTCTACTATAGATAATATCGGTACCATGAAAGAAAAAATGGTACAGTACCAATGAAAATATTTCCACTCACCGACACCGAGCGGGGACGGCGGGTGGGTTGTGTGACTGCACAGATGACCACTCGAAGAACATCAGTTACAGGTAAGCAACCTGCTTTTCTTCGTCGTGGTCTCTGTGCATCACACATATGGGTAGATTAGCAAGCTTACCCTTAGTGAAGGAGGGAAGGTGTCCTTAGCGAAGAATAGGTAAGAGAACGGCTCTGCCGAAGGAGCAGTCGTCTGGTACGAACATCCAGCCGATAATGCATAGCAAATGTACATGGAGTAGCCCAAGTGGCAGCTCTACAGACATCATCAATTGGAACTCCTGACGCGAAAGCAGAAGACGTAGCAACAGCTCTAGCAGAATGACCCCTTGGCATTGTAGGCAAGTCAATCCTAGCCAGCTGATAGGAGGGAGTAATTGTATGGACTATCCACTTGGAGAGTCTTTGAGGGGTAACTGGAAGGCCCTGATTTTGTTCAGAGTATTTGAGAAAGAGCCTGTTGGAATGTCGAATAGACTCAGTCCTTGATCTGTAGAAGGCCAGGCAGCGCCATACATCAAGTGTGAGTAAGGATCTCTCTAGCGGATTCGTGGGAGATGGAAAGAAGGCAGGTAAGACAATGTCTTGTCCCATGTGAAAAGAGGTGACCACCTTAGGAAGAAAGGATGGATCCATGAATAAGACAACTTTTTCCCTGTGGAAATTTAAATATGGAGGATCTACTCACAGAGCTCACTAGCTCTTCGAGCTGATGTTACTGCAACAAGGAATGCCGTTTTCCAAGAGACAAGACGTAAATCGATTGTCACCAAGGGTTCGAAAGGAGCCCTTGTAAGCGCTTGTAAGACCACGGAAAGACTCCACGTAGGCATCACTAGTCTAACCGTCGGGTTAAGGTTATAAAGTCCCTTAAGGAATCTCTTTATAAGTGGTTGAGAGAAAATGGGCAAGCTTTGAACTATGCCACGGTAATAGGAAATTGCTGCCATATGCACTTTAATAGAAGATGACTTCAGTCCGGAATGGTGAAGTTCTAATAGGAACTGAAGGATTTGATTTATGGATGCTGAGAGTGGAAGAAACGAACGAGACTCGGCAAAAGTAGAAAATCGCCACCACTTAGCTGCGCATGATTTCCGTGTTGATGGTTTTAACACAGAATCAAGAATGTGCTGAATGTCCGGAGGAAAAGTTGTCGAATCCGATGGAACGTTCGCTGAATCCGATGACGGGGGGAGGACAAATGGATTTGAAGCATGGAGCATCATGTCGGATCCGAGGACAGGATCCGAATCATGTGTAAATACCATTGGTACTGAGTTAGCTGTTATCGGATTCGCCAAGCTTTCAATTTCAGCGACGTTAAATCTGGATGGCGAATTGTGCCTTCTCGCTGGGTTATGAGATACGGAATGAGTGGAAGATGAAGATATTCTGCTTGAGAGATGTGAAGAAGCGTTGAGAACCAGGCCTGATGTGGCCACCAAGGTGTTATGAGCAGTCCCGTGGTCCCATCGTGGATTATCTTCGGTATCACTCTCATAATGAGGGGAATCGGAGGAAAAGCGTAAAAATTCAGATTGTTCCAAGGGATCATGAAGGCATCCCCTAATGATCCCTGTCCGATTCCCGCTCTCGAGCAAAAATTCTCGCATACCCTGTTCTGTCGGGTGGTGAATAAGTCTATGTCTGGGAAACCCCATCGATGGAAGAGGTGGTTGCATGTCTGGGAGCCTAGTTCCCATTCGTGGGATGTGGACATGTGTCTGCTCAGAAGATCGGCTTCCACATTGTCTGTGCCAGCAAGGTGTACTGCCACCAGAGTAATGTCTCTTGGGATGCACCATTCCCAGATTTTCATCAATAGTCTGGCCAGAGTTGGAGACTTTGTCCCACCTTGCTTGTTCAGATAACGGACCGTAGCAACGTTGTCTGAGGTTATCCGAATGACTCGATGTCAAGGAACATCTTCGAACAAACGTAGAGCCTTGAATACAGCCAGGAGTTCCAAGAAGTTGACATGATTCTTGGATTTTCGGCGATTCCAAGCGCCTTGAGCGCATAGATCGGAACACACTGCTCCCCATTCCAGTAGGGATGCATCGGTACCGAGGGTCACTGAAGGGCATCGTGGTCAGAATGGAACCCCCACGGTTAGGTTGGCTGGAACTGACCACCAGAGCAGAGAGTGGAGAACAGAGGATGGAATCCGAATCAACTTTGTCGGTAGATCCCTTTGCGGCTGAAACATTTTGTTGAATAAAAGCTGCAGAGGACGAAGGCGAAGTCTGGCATGTGGGACCACGGCAACTGACGCAGCCATATGCCCCAAAAGTCTCTGGATGGACCGGGCAGGAACTGTCATGTCTCGTCGCATTCGATGGATGTGCTGAGCAAGAGTCTGTTGTCTGTCCGGAGGAAGGAAGGCTTTTGCCACCGTAGAATCTAGACGGGCTCCGATGAAAGTAATCGTTTGTACCGGGAGAAGAGAAGATTTCTCATTATTAATACATAGTCCAAGATCCTCTAGCAGGGCACAGGTCATATGTATCAAGGCAAGAAGTCTCTCTCTGGTTTGGGAGACTGGCAAGCAGTCATCAAAGTAAGGGTAAATTTGCACACCCCCGAGCCATAGAAAGGCACAAACAGGAGCCATACACTTGGTAAATACTCTCGGAGCAGTAGCCAGTCCGAAGGGCAACACTGTGAACTCAAATAGTTGGGATGCGACAGCAAAACGAAGGAAATGCCTATGACAAGGGTGAATGGAAATGTGGAAATAAGTGTCCTTCAAGTCCAATGAGGCGAACCAATCCTCTTTCCTCAGCAACAGTAGGATATTATGAAGGGTGGTCATCCTGAATTTTTTCGTTGTGATAAACCGATCAATATTTCGTAAATCCAAGATTGGACGAAGACCACCATCCCGCTTCGGGACCATAAAATATCTCGAATAGAATCCGTGAAGTTCGTCTGTCTGAGTTAATTGACGAATCGCTCCTTTACGAAGAAGCTGTCGAACTTCATCGAGCAATACCGGCGAGCATGAGGTGAATCGGATCGGGCTCGATGGAGGAATGATGTCAAATTCTATCCGATATCAGTGCTGAATGATGGACAATACCCACTGATCAGATGTGATGGACTCCCAAATGGGGAGTCGGCTTCTCAGCCGGTCCCCAGATGAGAGGGGGGTGGGTAGAGTAGGAAAGAGAGGAATGGTTCGCCCATCCTGTCAACGTTGCCTTCTATCTCTGTTGAAGCGACGACGGCCTTGTTGGTAACGTTGCGGGGGCTGTTGACGGCGGCGTTGTTGCTGCTGCTGCCGGTGTTGGGGCTGCTGTCTGGTTTGGTACGGCTGCCTGTAGGAGGGTCGGGTCCAAGACCACTTACGTCTGGTCTGAGGTTGGAGCTCCATCCGCCGGGCCATCATATGGGACTCGTGGATTTTTTTTGAGTTTGTGGTCGGTTCTTGAATGGAAGAGCCTGGACCCATCAAAGGGCATTTCCTCTATCTGCCTCTTCATCTCCTCCAGAAAATTGCAGTTGCGCAGCCACGCATGCCTCCAGAGGGAGATGGCACTGACCAAGGCCCTCGGGTCCGTGTCCACGTGGTGTCGAGCAGTGGACAGCTGCTGGACCACGACTTGCATGGCCTCCTTTATAAAAACTTTTGCTAGATCACCCTGGTTATCTGAAAGAGCCGAGACGACATTTTTGAGGCTCTGCATAATGAAATACTGGTACCTCACCAGTGTCGCCTCATAATTAGATATTCTAAGCCTGAGACTAGAGGCAGCGTATACTCGTCGGGCCAGGGAATCGATCTTTCTTCCTTCTTTGTCTCAAGGCATGGTATGACCTCTTGCCTCTCTGCCCTGGGAGGACTCCACCACGACCGAGTTTGGATTAGGGTGGCAGAGGAGGAAGGGGATATCCTCCTCCCGAACTTGGTACATGGATTCGTACCTCCGTGAAGTTGGCTGGGGATGGGCGGGCAGGTCCCACGGTTGGGTCATAGCCTGCCGCAAGGTGGTGATGAGCAGCAGCACGATCGACGTCGACTGTTCCCCGCGGACGACGTCGTAAAATTTGTCTGTACTGGGGCTAGGCCGTTGTATAGCATCAATTTCAAGGGACTGGACAAGACGCGACATTAACACCGCAAAAAAGATGTGGGATTCGTCAGGCGACCCAGGTCCCTGGGAAGTTACTGCGTCCGGGGAGGTGGAGTCGACGTCAGAGTCGTCGGAGTCCATGCCATAATATGGAGGAGCCGAGGAGGAAGACTCTGCCGGTGATAAGGACCGGCTGCTTTCCCTAGTCGGTATCGGCGAGGCACGCCTCGGGACTGAAGGTATTGGTGCTGGTGGAGAGGAACGTCCCCTTGGGGCTGGATAGTGCCCAACGGAACAGGAGTCCCCCCATCCATGGTAGTACGAGTGGTGAGGAGGGTACCATCCCTCTGATCTCCTCTCAAACGAATGTCTTCTGCGGCTCCTGGGAGGAGACATCTCCACGTCCGCTTCCAGTGTAGCTAGGGTCATAGGCGTGGGGGACCTAGTCCTAGCTGGGGAATCCCGAATCTCCCCATTGGAGATCGATTCTCTCGGTGGAACTGGAAGAGGCTCCGACGTAAGCTCGTCCATGTGTCGAGGGGACCCCAGAGATGTAACCCTCATAGCCGCCTGAAGCGCTGGGCCCAGTGATGTCGGTACTGGGACAGCCGTCGGGACCGAAGGGGCTGACAAATCCGAGTCTCGGTGCTTGGGGCGCTCAGGGTTCTTGGTCTTCTGAGGTGGCTTCCTGGTCTTATCCTTTTTAGCCTTCTTGTGGTCAGACGGCTTGTTGGAACCAGTGTGCTTCCGTTTTTCATGCTTCTTCTTAGGTGAAGAAGCAGGCTGATCGCCCACGATCACCTTCGTCCGAAGGGCGTGAGGGTGGAACCACAGAAGAAGAGCCCAGTTTTGGAGCAGATACTAGTGGGTCCAACTGAAGGAGTGCATGGTCCCACAGAAGTCTCCGGAGGCTGTTCTCACGGTTCTTCCTGGCCTGCTTGGAGAAGTCCAGGTAGTGAGAACACTTATCCGTCCTATGCCCTTCCCCCAAGCAGAGAAGGCATAGGTCATGCGGGTCTGCAGGAGACATTTTAGACCCGCACTCCGTGCACTTGTGGAAAGCCGCTCATTGAGCCATTGTAGAAAAGGAAAAAAGAGAAGACAGTGCAGCGGGTAATAATATATTTTTGCTTTTTTTTTTTTTAAAGAAAGAAGTAAGAAAAAGAAGAACAAGAGAAACAACAAGAACTACTGGAAAACAGGGATAATAAACTTGGAGAGAAGAATAATCGCAATAGTGAGAACGAGGAACGGTCAGAGCAAGAGCGAAAGCGGCACAAGGCACAACAAATGGCTGTCGCAAAGACTGAACACAATGGCAGATGCTCCGCTCTATATAAGCTATGGGGCGGGGAGGGGAGCTTCCCACCAAAACCGTTAGCTATCAATCTTCCGGCCAAAGGCACTGCGTAGGCACAGCACCCATATATGTGATGCACAGAGGCCATAACGAAGAATGCAGGTTCTCCCTGCATCGCTCAATACCTGCTTCCAGTGTCAGCCTCCCAAGCTGTTTTCTTTAAAATAAAGAACCAAAAATAACTTCAGAGGAATATGACACACATCTGCAGATAATGTCTTGTTTGGTCCTAACCTAATGCACATGAAGCGCTCTAAACAAATGCTAAATATTATTAGTAACAATTGTTTTTGACATTCCAGTATTTCCCTGTGTTAGTTAGTTGCAGGCTTCCCAAACTTCCCTTCTCAGAAGTGATGAACAACAGCCTCTATGATCCCCAATAGGCATGGCCAATGCTGACTGGGATGATGGGGGTCATGGTCCAACATCCCTTGAAGGCAAAAGCTTGGGCAGGGCTCCAGTAGCACCTGGGACAGGTGTCTGTGCAATTCTTCACCAGAAGACCCTCCTTGCAAAAGCAACAGATCTGTCCTGGAGTGAAGCAATCTGTGCCAACAGACTCCAGGGCGAACTGAAATAATGATGTGGAAAGCCAGTTAGCAGGAGCAGGTTCTTAACACCTGGGTAGAATGTACTAATATCTAGTGGAACTCCATCTCCAAAGTAGGAAGGAAGATGGGAAATGGTTTAGGGGAAGGATTATTTTTCACATGCTATGCTGTTCATTATTTTGGTTTAGCCAAGTCAGGCCTATTTAGAACCTACAAACTGTGTTGCACAGTTGCTTTTGTTCTCCCTGGTCAAGCTCAGACTCCTTTGCTCTGCACTTTCATGGCTCCCCATAGCCAACACTCCTGCTTAAAAAAATAGTAAGTCTTCACCCACCTTTCAGCGCTGATGTATTCCGCAGGAAGAGAACTGCAGCGCACTCCAGCTACACGTACCCCCACTTCATTGAAATAAAGACCCAAGTTCTCACCCCAAACTGTCACCAGCGTCCCACCTTCTTTGGGGCCAGTCAGTGGCAATACCTACAGAGCAAGGGGGAGAGAAAAGAGCAGGGGGGACTCATTGGAAATAGCCTAGGAGGCTTCCACAAGGCAAGGTGTTCATTCCCCAAAGAGGGACAAGCATTTCTCCTCAAAAGCACAAGCAGTTAAGCCTTTAGTTATCTTGCTGGACATACAATCCTGCCCTGCTGTGACAGGACTCCTTAGTTTGCTCATGAGGAGAGAAACTCTATGGCACATAGCATCCCTGCACCTGACCCTGGAACCTGAAGATACTCCACGCTAGTGGTAGGGTTGAAGTTTTGAGAAAAGCCCCACACTCACACAAGCAATGTCTGAAAGCACGAGCAAGTCGATAGACACCATGAGAAGTGGCCAAGCTCTTCTGACCACAGCAGGAGGCTCCACCTCCAGGCCAGGATAAAGTGAAACCCTGACCCAAGCCTCACAGGTTTCATTTTTGAGTAGGGGGCTACATACATAAGTAGGACCAGCGTCAATGCTTGGCGTGGCTGGGCAACTGTTGAGGGCCCACACCCCAAGAGAGGCCCATGGACAGGGGCTTGGAATTGCTCCTCTCGGCTGCTGCCACTTGCTTGTTCACCTCCCTTTCACTCTGGCCCTGAGCACGGTGGTGCTGGGGAGGCAAAGCCAACATGGCAGCAATCATGAGAAAGGGGAGGAGGAGAAGCCAGACTAGCTGGCAAGAATGGTGGTAGAAGGGAGGCTCGTTGAGGGAGGAGGGCTATTGAGGGGTCTCCAAACAGGCAGGCCAGGACGTACTCAAGGCTGCAACATGCGCAAGGCTGACCCATGTGATTCTGTGCACCATGGCATGAGTGCAAGGCTCCACATTCAAAGCTTTGTGCAAATGCAGTGTCCAGTGATGAGGTAAGTGATGTCAGAGCAGCTGCAGGACAGGTGTACAGAATGAAGCATGGCGTAGAAAAAGTGGGCAGGGAAATGTATTTCTTCCTCTCATGCATTAGAGCCCAAAGCTGGACAATACATTGCCAATACATGAGTAAGCAAAGACAAGTATACAGTGCAGGGATATGGTTATGTGTGTGCCCATGTTTGCTTTACCTGGGTGATGCGGGGATGGGCACAGCGGACCCCACGACGGCCAGACGGGACCCAGTTCTGCCGGGAAGCGGGGCAGTGTGGGCGCAGGAGGCAACGGCGTTCAGGGACACACCAACCACACTCGTAACGCGGGTCTGACTTGAGGCAGAGCCCACAGCTGGAGCGTTGGGCCGAACACTTGTACAGCAGAGCTGAAGGAGGAAACAAACAGAGCATGGCTAAAAGGAAGGGGGCTCTCCTGTTCCCCTCAGGACAGGCTTGCCCTCTGCTATTTGTCCTATAAGAGAAGGCCGTTAAGTCTCTTTCAACCTGAGGGCTAAATTCAATACCAGAGAGACAACTCAGGGGTAGCATTCCTGTGGTGAGCAGGGCTGAAGACAAAACAGGATGTGTCCAAGTTGGACAGAATTCCAGCGTTTTTTAGCTTAATCTTCTTACTATCAGTAGCTAAGCCTTCGAAGGGGCATTTCAAGTGTCAGGAGGGGAGGGGCAGAGAAACAGGAAACCAAACATGCCAGGCAACCACAGAGGGCTTAGTAGGAATCCCAGATAGGGTGGATTTGGCCCATGGGCCTGAGGCCCTGCAATGAGACCTCAGCCCCTTAATAGACTAGCTTTTCCCAATATGGTCAAGGTTCAGTGGAATGCTTGGAATCTTAATCCAAAACATCTGGAGGGCACCAGGTTGGAGAAAGTTACCTTAGATGGGAAGCTGGAATTAAGTTCCCTTTCTGCAATCTTAAACAAGTTTCAGTTTTCACATTACTGTTCCATGTGGTAAAATCCGGATCTATTCAGGGCAAACTCCAGCAAGCTCACCCTGGCACACAGAAAGGTGGAGGGCCATGCTTCAGGAGGCACCCTTAGGGTGGGGTTGATGGAACAGGGGGAGCTAAAAGGTGGCAGGAACTGGTGTCTTAATGGTGCAGCAAGACTTTTCAAGTGCTGGCTTAAGTGGGCTGGGGATGCATGGAGTTTTAGCCTTTGCTTCATTCTCATGGTAAAAAGATGAGAAATCAGGCCCCTGCTGAAGACAGGCATTGTATAACAGGTACCTTTGAACCCTGGTGGCTTGTCAATGGCAAAGTCTCCATCCCAGATAACATCAAAGTCCAGGGGCAGCTCCCCAAGTTCTTCACCATCGTACCAATACTGAGGAAAGAGGTGGATTGCAAATTATGAAAACACCAGGTATGAATATTGCTCTGCAGCAATGGGTAACTCTGCAATGCAACACACATCAGGACAAACTAAGAGAGAGTAAAGAGATTTACTGGGCACTTTCCCAGAAGGCGAGAGGACGCTTGGTGGCCAGATCCCTAGGAGCTATGATCTGCCCAGCCTTTGGCAGCCTAAAGTCTGCCCATGACGCTTGGTTTTAACCTCCTGCTCATGAGGATCATGGATGGAAAGGAACGACTTGCTCTTGGCTCAAACTGGAACTGAATAAATGCCTTCATTATTATGGATTTCGTCATCATTGCACCATTTCTTGCATCTTTGGCATCTCGCAGCATGTGAGGTGCCTCCACAGGGATTCATCAACAGTAACCAAGAGTCACACTCTTCCGTGACCCCCATTATACACACACACACACACACACACACACACACACACACACACTACACACACATCCCATCTAGGCAATGGGGCTGGCGTCATCTAGAGTGTTACCACATGGGCCAAGGGGTGGGAAGAGTGACAGTGATAAAGAGGGAGAAGCGCAGTAGTTTTATAAATAGATTGCATGTTGTCATGACTGGGCCAGGTGCCAAACAGACTGCCAGTGAGATGGGCCACAATTTAACTGAGAGTTTACTGCTATCCCAGGGCCCACCCCCTAGTTCTCTGTAGCACCGTTACTCCTGTTTACTGCCACCCTTATTTTTGACCATTTTTTTCTGGGCTCCAGACAGGAGAGTACAATCTGCTTTGGAGTGGCGTGCAAGCATGGTGGTCTTGACCTGAAAAGGTGGGAATATTGCTTTCACAGGGCCTCCATATGAAAGTATGTGCTTACTTTTTAGCATTTAGTAGGCAGAAATCCACAACACGCAGGGCTGAAAACTTCTAAGAACTAAGGCTGGCTTCTCCTAGTTCACTCTTCCCCACCTTTGGGGCCCTCCAGGGGTGCTGGGCTGCACCTCCCAACATTCCTAGGCAGCATGGTTGGGCATGCTGTCAGGGAATGATAGGAATGGCACCCCAGCAAATCTGGAGGGCCCCAAAGGTGGGGCAGGCTATACTGCTTCCTGCCCAACAATAAGTGCCAAGAATCAGAATGGAAAATGCAATTCAACTAAATGAGCGGCTGTACCCCTCAGTGGCCATCTCAAACCAACCACCAGAGATATGGGCCACAATGTAAATACACGCTAATCAACCTCTACAGTAATCATAATCGCTGTCCTATCACTTGTCCAGTATTTCTTTGACATGTGTGACTTGTTCAATGGATACTTTGCAGTATGCAAGTGACACAGGGCCTCTGCTTTCCTTAACTGGAAATCGTGAGTACAAGAAAACAACTCAACACATGTTCTTCCTGAACAACAGGGAGTTTCTGGTGTCCCCTGGGCCAAAAGCACCCTCTCTCCATTGCTTAGACTGGGGTGGCCAGGTATCCTACTTTGCAATCTTCTGTTTTGTAGAGCTGGCAGAGGACAATCCACTATTTGAAGGTGTCCTCTATCTGATGGGCTGTTCAGTCCAAGCTTGGTCTCCACTCAAAAAACTGTCAGGAGGGAGGGCAGAGAGGAGCCTTGGAATTAGAACCTGGATGACAAACTAAGCAGGTATGAGGGACAACTAGTCAACCTCTCCGTTAGGCTCTTGCATTTCTATTTTATTCATATAATAATGATCATTTCTATTTTTTCTCTCACACACACATAGGTGCATATGCAAATGCTATACAAACTGGCACCTGCTTTCACTGTCCTTCTTGCTGATGTGCACATGGCTGCCTTAACCGGGGCGGGGGGGGGGGGCTGCAATGGAAACTGTGGCAGAGGAGGCGACTCTGGGAGAGGGCTTACTAAAAAGCCACTCTCCGCTTTTCTTTCAAGATACATACACAGACACAAACAGCACTTGGCCCCTTTCCTTCATATCACTTTGCATATTACTTTGCACCTATAGTGCCACTCATTCGGTTATTCAGCCACCAGACTTGACTTTTCTTTGACCATTGTCAGCTGGAATAATTTTGTATGTTTGCAAAACATCTGAACCCCATCAGAGTTCATCCATCCTCAATCACATTGTTAACACAAGCTAGAAAGTAAACAGAACAAGTGCCAAGACAGATCTGCAGCATTTACAAGTATTTCTATCCCGTTTCAGAAGGGGCCCTTTACTTCTTATGTAAAGCAACATAAAATTCTACATTCCATCAGTATTTCAGCACAAATTAACATATACAAGTGCAACAGTGTTAGCTAAATTGCTGGGGAGGTGGGAAGGAAGAAAACCACTTGGCTGCCAGCTTTCCCCAACCTAGTGGCCTCCAGATGTTTTGGAATGCAACACCCATCAGCCCTACCCTGCATGGCTCAGAAATGCTGTGAGCTGAAGTTCAAAATATATAGAGGACACCAGATAGAGCAAGGCTGTCACAGACCAGGGCAAGCAGAAGGTAGGTCTCCAGATGTTTAGAGCCAACCCTCATAAGCCCATGTCTGCATAGGCAAGGTTTAGGAAAACTGGGAGCTGATCTCCCAAGCATCCAGAGATCTACTGTCTGCCTACCTTTGCTTTAGATTACAGAACTCTTTATCTAACATGAAGCAAAAGGAAAGGCCATACCCCTGCCCACTACCCACGAAAGTCCAGACTTGAATTGTGACACAGGTTGAGAACAAGTCAACCCTGGTGAGGTAGTTGCAGAACTCAAGTTAGCTCCAGTAAGCAAGCAAGCAAGCTAAGACATGTGCTACTGTCATTGAGGCAAGATGCTTCTAGACAACAAGATCCTAGGGCAGTCTATCAGAAGACACTGTGTACCTATTCCATCCTTAACAGATTTTCCTCAGTGAGGCAACAGACAGAAAAAAATAGGAAGGCTACCAATATGGACCCCCAGTCCATGAGGCAGGATGATGGCACAATAAAAGCCTCATTTGGAAGCACCCATAGTTAGTGCATGTGGAACAAGCTCCTGTGCTCACAGTTATTGGGGAAAGTTTTACAGGGAGGACAGACACAACTACCAACCTGCTGCAATTAATGAGAAATGCACACAGCCAAATGTACAGACTAGGTATGTCGAAAGTTCTGCAAAAATGTATCCTGAGAAATGTTAACTCAGCTCTGCCAATTTATTTAAAACCTGACCTTTTTTTAGCGTCTGTGACTTCTTGCAAATGCTTCAACACATTTACAGACAGTAGACAAGATCTGGTACCAGACTGTTTCACAAACTTTTGAATCAAAAACCGCTTCTCCTGAAACTCTGTATCTACACGCACACACCCTGCCCCCAACAGAAGTGGCGACCTGCCAGAAGTAAGTCCGTTTCCCACCAATACTCAAAGCCTGGCACTAAACCAGCCGCGTTCCCCTTACTGCAAAGCACCGCGGGATCAAAATCTAACCCCAAATGCAAAACACATCTGAGCCCTCTCCTTTTGATAGTCATTCTTCAGGCTGGAAATGCTACATCAGCAACTACAGCAGAAATGTATGAGTCACCACAAAGATGACTGTAAAACCTCACCCAAAAAATGACAGTCTAACCTCACTACAACAAAATGTGCAGAAGCAAGTTAGATTCCTGCCAAGTACTGAAATTAATAGAAACAGAAGTTACGAGGAAAAAATGCCAGAGCGCACAGAAGCAACCCATTGGGAAAGCAATCAAGAGCAAAAATTCTTCTCTTCCACAAATGCATAGAAAATATTTCTCCAAATGGTCAGGGATTAAGATACATCATCACATTTTGCTAGAAGTTCAAACCTAAAAGCCCGACATCTGGTACTTGTACCATTTCCAAAGTGGCATCTAAGTCAGAGAGGATGAGAGTGATTTTTATTGTTAAAGGCCTTGGCAGAGAAATTACAGTAGGCTACCAGAGGTTCATTATGAACCCCCTGGGGATGTATGTGCAGCAGATTCCTCGCCACTCAAAACAGTTCTGCAGGATGGTTCAGCACAGACACAACAGTGGCAGGAAGGCAGTTCTTGTTTTGCTGCCATCACAGCTGCAGAAGTGGCATCTAAAAGGAGCCTGAGCCAGTGTTTGGTCCAAGTTTTTCTCTACTTCCATTCAAGTTGGCCTATCTGCAGTTTCTTATCATCCTAGTATACTACCCAGCTGACCAACCTGTAAATTGATGGAAGAGAGTGGCTGGAGGCAATAGCGCCACATGACCACTGAGTCAGGTCTTTGGTCCACATGGCTCAATATTATTGACACCAAATAGCAGACAGTCTCTGGGATTTGGGGCAAGATTCTGCAGATGCTGAGGATAGAACCTGGCACTGTTAGCGTACAAACCAGTGCCTTACCACTGAGCTACAGCCTCTTCCCTGTCAAGAGATCAACCACAACTTCAAGAGAACTGCATGCTGTGTCAACTGAAAACTCTGGGATGAATGGTCCAGAAGCCACTAGGATCCATACCCTTTGGGTTTGATCAACCAAACTGTCCTCCACCTTTACGGAAGACTGGGGTCAGCAGAAGTTATACCTCACCAAAGAATAATCTGCCCATAGCAAGGTAGCAGTTAAAAATTCCCCCACCCCATGATAACTCTTGGTCCACCCATCAGAGAAACCAAATCAAGCACAGGGCCTCCTGTGTCGGGTTTAAACAACTGGGATAGCCTCATGGTAGTTATGAAGCTTAAGCTGCACTGCACAAACACGTCTTGGTGTGGATGCTGAAGTCGCCTGCAACTGAAAGTCTAACAATCCACAGACACCAAACCCAAGATCACCACTGCCAACTCAGAGAAGGGAAACTATTGGGAAGGAAACTATTATTCAGTATAATGACCAAAACTTTGTTCTGTCCCATGAGCACAGCACCAGGTGCAGGCAAAAGTCAGAGGACTAAAAAAGGGAGCTGGAACTTCTTCTACAGCAGCTTTCTCCAACTCGGAGTCCTCCAGACATTTTGGACTACAACTCCCAGCATTCATGACTAGTGGCCATGCTGGATGGGGCTGATGGAAGTTGAAGTCCAAAATGTTTGCTTGGGAAGGCTGCCCTAGACTATCGAAACTGGGCTGATGCTGGATTGAGAACCAGGGAGGACAATGTGGGGACAGGCTAACCTAAGCTGCTTCATACCACCAGGCTGGGCTCCTCATCCAGCAGGCAGTGTCCAGGGTGGCCTCTCATGAGGAAGGCCTTGCTGGAAGAGCTCTGCCAGCTGGGAAATGAGAAGTGGCAAAGGTGAAGGAGTAACAGCAAAAAGGGAAAGATGCCAAGCCAACAAACTGCCCCACATCCGGAATTGTTCTTAGCCCTACTGCCCATGCCTGGCTACTCAAATATTGAGTTTGCTGCATGAAAGGGTTAATACAAGGGTCCTCAAACTTTTTGAATAGGGGGCCAGTTGTCGTGGTGGGTGAGGTGGGGGTGCCTGGGGGCGTGGGCCAGTGAGCTGCCGTCGGGCACACGCGAGGTGGCATCTGGCGCATGCGGCGGTGGCTTGCTCGCTTGGAGACCTTTCAGCGAGTCCAAAACCATCTCCTAGTGAGCAAGCCACCACCTCCCGGGCACTCGCATACGGGATTGCAGGCGGTGGCTTGCTTGCTCGGAGACCATCTCTGAGCAAGTGAGCCACCACCTCCCCACCTGCGCAGCAAGCGCACGCGCAGACCAGAAGGATGGCCATGGTGGGCCGGATCTGCCATCTGCGTAGTTTGAGGACTCATGGGTTAATACATAACCCTGTGGATGGATCACAGGGTGCAATCCTAGGTGTGAACAGCAGAGGGCAGCCATAAGCAAGCGTCCAGTGAAAGCCTCACACAGTAAGCTCACAACCGACGCTTGAGGAAAGGATGCAGGACTGAAACTGTCGGGCAAGTTCAGGACGTGGGCTCTACACAGCTGGGGCCACATGAAGTCCCGCCTTTGTGCTGCTTTGTTCTAAGCGAATTTAATTCTAGTATTAATCCTTCAGAACCCAGTCTTCCCCAGTCTTCCCCAATGTGAGCTGGGGAGGATGGGAGTTGCAGTCCAACACCTCTGGAGGGCACCAGACTGGGGAAGGCTGCTTTAGATTTACTGTTCCAGGAACCAGTTCACTGGATCAAGCCAAGATTAAAGGCTACCTGAATGTCTCTGGCCATTTATAAGCCAGGCACCACCTCTCCCATTTTTCTGTGGGCTGTATCCAACATTAGTTTAGCTCAAGTCCCAGCTGTTTCAACAGGCCTATTCAACACAGGACTGGCATCGGATACAACCCTGTGTCCCAGGCATTGGCTATTCGGAGGCAAGAACCTTGATGGGTTAGAACAAAGGTCCATCTCACCCAGCTTCTCGATCCCTGTAGTAGACAGTCAGATGCCCCTGGAAAGTCTGCCAGCAAGGCATACAGACTACCCAACCACTGGTACGAAGAGGCCTATTGCCCCTGGGAATGGGAGACTCTGTATAAAGTCATCATAACTGATCCACCTTCAAAGCTATCTAAGCCAGGGGTGGGCAACTTGAAATGGAAATGTGAAATCCTTCTATTTCCCCCTTTTGTGTCTGATATTAAGAGTGATTGTTGTGTGTGTCTATGTTTTATTATATGTTAACTATGTTCTTCCTTTTTCTACGACCACCTCTCTCCTGCTGTTTCTCACTCTTTTTTTCTTTTTTGGTGATTACATTGTTGTATTTGCAAATATTTTTAAAAAGGGGGCAACCTCTATGCATTGGATGTTTACATTTCCCCCTCCAAACTCATCTACCCCTTCCCTCCACAGGTAATGAAATTGTTGCCAGCACTGAAATGACTACTGAACTTGCTGCCATCATTGCGTTGGCAACAATCATGGTGATTTTGCAAGGAAAGCAGCAGCACAGTAGCAGTCACATGATTTACAAGGAAACTCATTCTTCTGAAAGCCACCCATGAACATTTTTCTGTGTGAAAACAAGGCACATGGGCCTTATTCTACTGCAAAATCGCTGCATTTCACCCCCATCACCAGTGGCCCACAATTGCCCACCCCAGTCTAGGTCCCTGGTTATCATGACATCTTGCAGCTGCAAATGCCATAAATTATGTGCTTTTCCTTGTATATTGAATCAACCACCAAATGATTTCATTGGATGACCCTGAATTCCAGTGTTATTTACAGAACAGTCTTACAATAGTTGCTGGTTTAGTTTCAATTGCACTCGTTTTACCAATTCCTAACATTGAACCTTTATTCCCCACTGCTGCTGTACATCAAGTTGACACATTCAATGAATTTTCCTACTGTGATTGCAAAACTGTTTCCTAGAGAAGCAAAGTCCTCAGAACAGCTGTACTGGATCAGGCCAATGGCTTATCTGGCGAATCATTCTGTTCCCACAGTGGCCAAGCAGATGCCTCTAGAATCCGGATGCCAAACCCCAGCCCAGCTCTAACTTAGGGCACAACGGTTTTATTTAAACATTTACGTATATGCCGTCTATTTCGTCATGGCATAAATGGCAATAAATATGCCATTGGGACTATTTATCTCTCATGAAATAGTATAAGAAAGCTACCTTATACGAACATATTTATTCCAATCTTCATTTGGTTAACTTCAGGATTAACTGAGGTTTTATCTGTTACCATTGTCCTATGTCATATATATATATATATGGAGACAGGGGAGAGAGAGAATGTTTTTTATTACTTAATTATTTTATATTTTATAGTATTGGGCTAGAAATAAACTAAACAAATAAGTGCTTATGTTGGTTCCAAAAGGGGAAAAGTATTTAGCTTCTTATATTTCTGGTAAATATGCTAAAGCTCTGATGCAAAAAACAAAGTCTACTATTCAATGTACAGAGTGCTTTACAAGTCTTCTTTCATTTATTCTTTCAGGAGTACTGTAAATTAGGTCACTGTGCCCATTTTACAGAGAGGCAATTGAAATAATAGTAACCAATAGCTACTGAAGGAAGTCAAAAGTTTAAAGCCTGAATGCAGCACGCTAGCCCCCGCAGCATCACGGAGTGGGCTGACCAGTCTTGATCCTTGCCTTGAACTCTCTCTCTCTCAGTCTCTCTCTCTCTCTCTCCCTGCCTCCCTCCACCATGAATGAGCAAGGAGCCACTTCACAACTCTAAGAAATAAATGAAGCAAAGCACAAGGAAGAAAAATCTGGTAGTAGCAGCAGTGGACTGAAAAGCAGCATTCTTTTTCCAACAAAGTTTCCGCCCTCAAGGTTGCAGATTGTGGGAGCAAGTAAGGAGGAGACTAAAATCTAAGCAAATAGGCACAGCTCTCACCGAGGTGTTCTGGCACTGGACACTGCTGGAGTTGAAGCGCACGGCTGGGACCCGCTGTTGCCGGCCTTGGATGCCCAGGACACACTCGTAGTTCTTCTGGCCAGACTGAGGCTGCGGCAGGTTCTTGGCGCGCAGGGTGATGGGCTGTAACACTCCCACTGGGATTAAGATCTCCCCACCAGGAAGCAGCTCTGGGCACCCCTATGGGAAAGGCATTTGCACACATAGCACCTAAAGCATATTTGTCGTGCAGACATGCCCTCCCCCTTATGTTGTTTACATGCATGCATGAATGTTGTGTGTGCAGGAAAGGAAGCCAAAGAGAGCTAGTTCTAAATTCTGACTCATGTAGGTATTACCTTTGGATCATCAGGGCTTCCTTAAGCTCATCATAGAATCATACAGTTGGAAGGGCCGAGAAGGCCATCAGGTCCAGCTGTCTGCACAATGCAGGAATCAAGTCACCCATCCAGATTTCAACCAGGCCCGACCCTGCTTAGCTTCCAAGATTAGGCAGGATCAGACATTTCAGGCTATACAGATCAGGCTAGGGGTCCATCTTGCCCTGGGTGCAAACAGCCCTCCAGGGTGTCAGGCAAGATTCTCTCCTTGCCCACCTGGGGATGCCAGGGCCTGAACCCAGGACCTTCTGCATGCAAAACGCGAGCTTTGCCCTGAGCTACAGCCCCTCCTTGCCTTCAAATGAACAGGCACAGAAAAAACGCCTTCCCAATACCCTGCCTCTATCCATGCTTACTCAGTAAATACCCCATGGACTCAAATTGTACTGATCTTCACATATTCTATCATCTTAGCTCTTGCTGTGAAGAAAGCCATTGCTGGGCATTGGCATAAGCTGTGGGCCCTGCCCATCTGCCCCAGGAGAACTCAGGCTCTTTCTGCCCCACAGCAAACAGCCACATGACCTTCCCTACCCCAAAGGCTCCATACGGAGCAAGGGGATAAAACCCAGGAGCCTTTTCCCAGCTCTTCCTCTTGCCTGGAGCAGCCGCATGAGAGAGATGGAGATGAAAGAGCCTGCTGGGCGCTCAGAGTTACCATGGAAACCAGATCCTGGTTAATTGCTCCTTGGTACCAAAGGGAAGGTGAGGGGGGAGGCGCGCTGGGCTGGCTGCTCTGTTTACATGGCTAGCAAGGAGGCGGGGTGGCCCTGACACTGGGAAGCAATAGAGGAAATATGGTCCTGACCTGCAGAACAATCAAGCCCTGGGTGCAACTTCCTCTCCAGAGCCAAGACAATGGGGTCAAGACAAAAGACAGGCCCTGCAGGGGAAGCAAGGCCTGGAGGCGCCAAGTTCCTTCTCCAGCGTTCTCACTCACTCCTCATCATACGCATACATGCACACGCCCCCCCCCCACGTCTCTCTGTCCTTTGCTTATTGCACCAGTGTCACTCAACCCGAGCAGTTAGAGGGAATGACTTGCTTCTCAGAGCCTCCAGGATGGCTGTCCAGACCCCTCCCACCTCCAGCCACCACATCTGACCGCAACCCAAACGCTGGCCCCTCCAAAGGGAGCTGCTATCAATTACCTACCCACAAAGAGCCCCGGGCGTCTCTAGGTCTATTGATCCCGCTGCCTGGGCCAGACAATTGATTGCGAAAGACTGGCCCCATTACCAGAAAAGACCCTGGCCTACCCCATATTGATCCAGTCCCCCCTCCCCAACATGGGCATTTTAGTGCTATTACCGGCTGCCAATGTCCTTGATCTGCCACCTGCTGACTTTTTTCTGATGCTATGGGATTTCCCTGGCCTGGGGACATACATTTATACCACTAACCCTGACCTCTACAGAGGAGAAAACCTAAACACAGTGCGCCTTCTACAAATCTCAACTTGCAGCTTATTTTGGAACAAAGTTTCTAGACCTCATGATTATGAAGATATACATGGAACTTCCCATGACCAAGCTTAAGGAGAATCGCTATGCCTTGCAGAGCTCTCTGTCCTTCCTCACATTTCTTATCCCCTGCCCACTTACTCCTTCCACTTTCACATTTCATGAACTGGTCAGAAGTCTGCAAAATACCAAATTATTGTCACAGGGTTTTTTAATTTAAGTTCTAGTTAAGTTGCACAATCTACATAAATTTGCAAAGCAGAATTGCAATTTTTACCCACACTCCCATGTTCTGTTCAAGTAGATGGCGGGGAGCACTGAAGTCATTTCTGCTATTAAGCAGAAATTTAGAGCCAGAGAGAGAGAGAGAGAGCACACAAGGGAAGTGTTTTTCTGCATTCAAGCCACATGGCTGGAGATCCCCTACTGGGGACTGAGTTTAGTGGTGAAGGTTGATGGGAGCTTGAACAGTTGACTAGAGGATTTGGGTTATAATTATCCCTGAAACACAGACATTTTCTCAAGGGGCTGTCCAGGGATACTCTCCTCAGGCTGCAGGGAGAAGAAAGGGCCATCTATGTGGTAAGGACTCTTCTCACCTCAGTGGTGTTGACCCGTCCTTCCAGGAAGAAGCACTTGGCGACATTGTGAGTGCAAGTGTGTCTGTATTTACACCAGTGGCAGGGGTAGTGACTGCTGACACAAGACAGGCACCTGTAGGGGTGAGGGAAATGAGAGCAGTCAATAAGGGGAAACGGGAACAACAAAAACAGGCAGCCATTGCCTGGCAAATCCCCCCCCCCCCCCGGCCCCACTTTCCGGAACCTTTATCCCTCCTTACTGTTGTTCTGCTTGAGGATAAGGAACTCTTGGGAAGGGAGGAAGCAGGAGGAAAGGAGAGGGACTCGGATGAATCACCTCAAAGCCCTGCCAAAGCCATCTGCTGGCTGTGGAGACGAGCCCTGAGGGAATGTTGGCTGAAGCCACAGACGAGCTGGACCGACTGGGGGTAAGCCTGGGTGCCCCAGACCTGAGAGGGCAGGGCACTCCCCTTCAGAGTTACATCTCAGAGATTGTGGGCAATTTTCTAGCTAAAGCAAGAAAAAAACAAAACGGCAGGCAGAGGAGGGAGGGGACTAGTGCCAAGGCCTGAGGGAAAAAAAGCAAGGCAGCAGAGCTAGCACTGTCAGGCTGCGAGGGCACCTCAGTGCTTTGTCTCTGGTGAGAGGCAGCCCAGCATAGGCTTGTCCAGCCAGTGCACGGCCCTCACACCCTTCGCCTCCAAGCTGGTTCTGTACCGGGCTAAAAGGAAAGCACTCTTCTCCATGCTCAGCTGCCCTTACCGCTAGTTCAGATGATCAAAACTCCAGCATTCAAGATGTGTTCCAGGCTGATGGCTAGAATCCCTTCCCCTTGCTCTCCATTGTCTCCCTTACAGAAATGCTTGAAATTGTGATCTTCTTGGGGCAGGGGCCTGTCCTTTCTCTTTTGCTTTGTTTCTGCTGATGTTACACTGTCCAGCACCATGCAAGGATGTGAGGAAGGGCAGGGTATGAGTAGTTGGACTGCAGCTTCCATCAGTCCCAGTCAGTATAGCCAGTAGTCAGGGACGATGGGAGTTGCTATCTAACAATATCTGAAGGGACACACCTTATCCATCCCAGCACTAAATAAACAACCATGAAAGTGAGCCTCTAGAAACCTGCCTTCCAAAGAGGGGAGGAATACCAGCTACTCAAGCTACTAACTCACTTATTTTTAATCTATTAAATTTATATCCAAACTTTTACTCCTAGGAAATCACCTCCCCCACCTCCCAGCTACCCTCATAGCAACCCAATGAGGTAAGTTAGGCTGAAAGACAGTGGCTAACCTGGGTTTCCCAGGGAGTTCCATGGCTGATTTGAACTCATTTCCCCAATCTAAGTTCAACACTGTTATTCTAGGCTTCCTTCTGTGCACTTCGTATGATTATGCTGGCACCAGCCCCTTTGGCCTGCTCCTACCATATTGCTTAGGAAAGGATCCTTCTTCTCCACATAGTTGGGCAGGATCATGATGTTAATAAAGTTGAATTATAATCAAAAGGAAGAGAGAATGATGGGGGACACCAGCTCCTGAAAATGGGAGCAAACTGGACTGAAGCTGGACTCAGAAAGTATTCCTTTCTTGCTCCCCTCAGCTTAAACTTACGTGTGCAGAAGGCTGCAATCATAGAAGACAAAATTGGTGCTGGCAAATTCCACACCAGTCTCCATGGAGAGAAGGCGGAGCCTGACAGTACGAACATCACCTGAAATTATAAAGGGGAGAGAATAAAAGACATGGGTGTCATAATGCAGGTATTTATATAGTCATATTCTAGAATTAATCCACTTTCACACTCATAAGTAGTAAACCAGGGTAAAATTCTATATTTGCACATGAGCATACACTTGCAGAGAGAGAGAGAGAGGGAGAGAGAGGGAGAGAGAGGAAGAGAACCATTCATTTACTACCTTTTCAACATCCCAATTGTAAGCATGAAGGGAAGCAACAAAAATGATCAGGGGACGGGAGCAGCTCCCCTATCAGAAGTGACTATGTTTGGCTTAGAAAAAAGGCAAAACATGATAGAGGTGTTTAAAATAATGCATGGCATATAGAAAGTAGAGAGGGAGACATTTTTCTCCCTCTCCCATAACACTCAAACCTCCCATGAAGATGATTAGTGGGAGGTTTAGGACAAATAAAAGGAAGTACTTCGTCATGCAGCATATAATTAAACTATGCAGTTCGCTGCCCAGAGAAGTAGTGATGACTGCCAATCCGGATGGCTTTAAAAGGGGATTGGACAGATTCATGGGGGAGGAGGCTGTCAGTGGCTACTAGCCTTGCTGGCTGTGTGCAACCCCCTTTACCAGAGTAGCTTACCTCCATGCACCAGTTGCTGAGGAGCCTGGCCAAGAGGTGGTCTTGCACCCATCCTGCTTGAGGGATCCTGTGGGCAGCTGGTTTGACACCATGTATATGGAGTGCTGGACTAGACAGACCCTGGGTCTGATCCAGCATGGCTTTTCTTATGCTCTTACATTCTTAAGCAAAGGGCATTGAGTGGTTCTGGGAGCATAACATGTGAGACACAAGAAACAAATCCTGGATTCCTGCCTAAAAATATATTGTGGACTACATGGCATTTTTCTCTTACATTATATTCCAAGCTTTATTCCTAGGAGGTGACAGCAGCACAGCCACTCCCTTGTAACAACCCTGTGAGAAGATAGGTTAGGCTGAGAGACTGAGAGGTTGAGAGACAGTGACTGGCCTAAGGGCTACCCAGCGAATTTCACAGCTGAGTGGAGATCTGAAACCAGTCTCCCCAGTCCAGGCTTACCAACGCTCCACCATTCCTCCAGATTTGCTTGTATGTGCCTTATTCCACCCTAATAAAAGGGGAAACATGAATACAGTGTGCTTTGGAAAGGTGAATGTGCTATGGAAAGGTGAACATATTCTCCAGTGGCATTCCTTATTTCAGCACTATGTCCTTGTTCCCATTTCACAGCTAGCGAGGAGGGATCAGAGGCTGAAGGTAGCTTTCCTGAAAACACCAAGGATGGGTGTGACAGAGGTAACATTTGAACTGAGGACTAGCTCAGTGTTTTGGAGCTGCTGGGCTGCACCAGCCTTCTCTGCCCGCTTTCCAATACTCACCATACTCTCCAGGGGGCTCATCCCTCAAGGTAGGAGAAAGGCAGCGGATCCCACCATCCTTCTGGAGTTGCCCCTCACTCTCTCCAAGGCTCTCAAAGGAACACGTGACACCAGCACTCAGGTCTGGGACGTTGTGAACAGTGAGCTGAAGCTGGAGACATAGTGCAAGAGAGGGAAGTCACTTGACAGCAGCATGCTTGAGATGGTACCAAGGGAAGGTAAGTGAGGGGTGCACACCTGTGTGCATGAGCACTTGTGAAGATGTGAGTGTACCTGGATGCTCACACAGATGCAGACACACCCTGCTTCCATTCTGTGACACAAGATAGCCCCAACACTGTACCATATAACAATAGAGGAAATTCAAAATGAATGGATACAGCTTCTCTTATTTATTCTGCCATTGTTACTATGTCACAACATTCATTTGGTTTCAAGTAGCAGCTCTCTGTGTGTGTGTGTGTGTGTGTGTGTGTGTGTGTGTACATACATATATGTGCAAGAAACTCTGCAAGGTGCTGAAGCTTTGCTCTTTTTAGCATCTCTCCCAGTGGTTCCTTCGGCATCTGAGATTCCACCAAGCATTACCTCATTCCCTTTCAAGCATATCTTGGCAAGTGTATGGGCTAGAAACACATTTTGCAAACTACATAAATCAAGGGTGCAATCCTATGCAGGCTTAGAAAAGAGAAAGTCCTACCAGCTTTGATCATTTCTTACCCAGACATGGTGAGTTTAAGGCTGTCTTCTATCTAAACATGCATAGGATTACACCTTAAAGTTGTGATTTCTATGAACATGAATTCTGTACTCCATACTATATTCTGCAACCATAGCCAAACATGTGCACTGTCATGGCCCTAACCATTAATTTGTTTCATTTTTATAGATCCAAAACCCAAAAGATCTCTGGAAAATTCACAAAATTGCCTGGAAAAAAAGAGGGGTAGAGCATGAGAGAATATCCAGCAGGAGTCTAGCATGCCTGCGTTACCAGTGCTCTCAACACAATGGATACTGCTAAACTAATTAAGCTAGTTGACAAAGGATTTTGGTCTGTCTTGCCTTTCAGGGACCCTCTAGAGATATCTGACAACCCTAATGGTGTCTTTGAAGGTTCATGCAAACACAGCTCCAGGACAGACAAAGCAACTTAGTGTGATATTTACATAATTTAATTGTAATTCATCTTCTAATCTAACTTCACCCAATGCCAAAAAGCAGAGTCAAGACACATATGCCATTGTAACAATATTCCAGTCAGGTTTCTATAACCACTGAATTCTGTATTCATACCCAAGCAGATATCACCGTTAGACGTTCTTATAGGATGGCTGTGACTGCCAGGATAGCCATGAAAAATGTTTTCAGATATAGATGCAGAAAAATAAAACTTATTGTAGTTGATCAAAGTTATAAGTCATGGTCTTGATGCAGCTGGAAACTCTCTAAAAAGAAGAGTATTCAACTTCTCTCTCCTTTCTGTTTTGTCAAAACAAATAGTGTGTTTTGGGCCATTTAGGGTCAAATTGCCATTTGCAAAGTTTTATCTTGGGAGTGCAGACATTCAGGTGGCAAAGAACAGGAAGAAGAATAAAACAGAGACCCTGTAGGTGAAGCCAGGGTGGTCAATCTTCTTTAAGTTCAAATCCCTTTAAGTTCAAGCTCTCAGGGCGTAGATTCCAATGATGGGTGGGACTAAAAACAGCCACATATATTAACGTAAAGCTCTTAGTGCTAGTAATTGCACTGGTGGGGAGGAAGCACACAAATGATAGGAAACCAACGCATGATTAGTGGTTGGAAGGGACTGTGAACATCCAGGGAACTGCAAAGGGCTGGATCTGGCACCCTGAGCCTGTTATTCTGCATCCCTGGATAAATAGGAAAAAGGTAACCTATATTCCCAAGGGAATGCAGCAGAATTGAGAGAAGTGCCTCTTTCTGAAAAAGCAGCAGCAATCTCCTCCCTCACTACCTAGAGAGAAGTTCCTTGCCCATTTGACAGGGGGATCAGCAGCCAGAAATCCTGTGAGGCATCGGAGGGAAGCAGGACTTACCACAATGCTGGGCTCTGTCACCGAGACATTATTGGGCTCGACAAGCAGCCACACACACTGCATCAGCACCGTGGTGAAGCGATGAGGCTCTGCAGCACGGGGGCACTCACTTTCTCTACAGCACCTGAGGCACAGAACCAGGAAGGGGCTGGTGTGAGAGGCAAACCTTCCAGTGCCTGGCAACCTGCCCCTCTCCACAGCCACCCTGCTTCCAACAGGACACAAAAGTTCATTGCAGCTCACAAGCAAGGGGTGGCGATTGGACAACAGCTCTTGCACCAGAGTCACCACCGGAGAAAGCTCATGATTTGGGGCAGAAGTGGTGGTGAGTGGGGAGACTGCCACCTGATTTGGTAAATTAAACAGAGACACCAGGAAGGAGCTTGCATGGGAAAGTCGGCAGAGCAGAGGTCAAGGCAGGTGAGGTGGGAAGCAGAAGCCACCAGGGGGCCAATAAGGTGGGCGTGTGAGAATGAATGTGCTCACAAAGGAGCAGGGCGGGTGAACAGAGAAAGTCAGTCTGGGGACTGTAACGCAGACCTGCTGCTTCCGCTCCAGGGCCCAGGAGGCTCATTAGCACTGCAGCCAAGGGTGCTTGGGGAGTTGGGGATGGAGAGGCCTGCCTTGAGGAAGAATGAACAGCAGCTGTACACAGGGACCCCAAAAGGGGTGTGTGTCAGGCAGGAAGTGAACAACCCTAATATTGGCAGTCAAGGAAAAGGGGGCAAAATCAGAGACCACATCAGGGTAGAAAAAGGCCTGAGCTCCGGACTGAGAGACAGATGCCGAGCGCTTGGAGCTGCAACAGGAGGAAAAGCCAGGGCTCAGGACTGGAGGAGCTCTTGAAAGGAATTAATCAGCTCTCACTTCTCTCTCTCTCTCACTCTTCTTGTTCCCCCACCCTGCTGGGTGGGTGGCAGGGGGGAGCGTCACCTCCACTCTCACCTCCCCTCCCCTCCCCTCCCCAAGCATTATCACATAGTTCTATATTAAGTTAGGAGGTGTGAGTTGCTGTGCCAGGTGCTGAGACAGTGAAAAGGGATGGGGAGGGGGAAAGGAAAGGAAAGGCGGTGGGGTGGAACATCTGCTTGCAGAGATACAGGGAGCCAGCTGCCGGCTGGGTGGAGAGGAAGGAGGCAATTCTGTGACCAGTCTCTTCTTCTCCCTGCAACAGCTTCATCCTGCCTCCTGAAGGGCAGAAAAACAAATGCACAGAACCATAGCTGTGTGGGGTGGAAGATTTTAGGTGTGCTGGCCATGGGGATTCAGCAATTTCTCATTTGCCCACCTACCGTATTATATCCAGCAGGAGATCACCACCAGGAAGTGAGGTGAGGAAGGAGAGAGAGAAAGGGACTATCTGCTACCCCCTTCCCCACTCAGGGCCAACAGCTTCCATCGCCTTCCTTGCACCCCTGCCCCCTCTAACTCTTCTCCCTTCTAGTCAGCTCAATGCTGACAGATTTAATAGGATTAAGGCTCCTGCAGAGTCTAGATAAGGGGCAGAGTGGGGAGGAGGGCACAGTGAGAGGGAAGGGATTGGTGGAAAATTGTGCTTGGCTGCTTCCTCCTTACCTGCCTGACCCCTGGCCATGGGATGGGAGGGGAAAGGGGAAGGAGGCAAGTCTTGTGGCAGGGAGTCTTTCCCCACCAGCCTGCGTATTCGTGGGGACGCAGCTAGCGGGGGATTCTCACCTGTTGTGCAGGACACACCAGCCACAGTGTGGATCTCTTGAGCCCAGGCACTCGGCACAAGATGAGTACTGTTCGCAGTTCTCCACTGGAAGCCGCACCACCTGAGGGAAGGGCAAGACTGTCATACACACAAAGACTACAAGACCTGGCACCCCCCTCCCCGCAATCCTGGTGTGTCCCATATCCCATTAGGTTGTTGCTCCTGCCTACAAAAACCTACAAAAACATCTGGGCCTTTCACAGAAACATCTGCAACAGGTACAGATTCCTGGTGTAGGGGAAGGCCCCTGTTGGATTTCTGCTTCCTAGGCACCTGTTAAAAAGCTCAGGAGACCTGTCGGTAAGAGGGGAAAACAGGGGACAGCCCTACAGGGCACCCATCTTCTGAGCAACCCTTAAAAGTCTTGCCCAACTTCATGCAACCTTCTTTCCTTTTCAAGAAGCCTACTGCATCTCTTTCAGCCCAAGGGCCAAATGCTGTTTCAGAGAAGCCCTTGGGAGGAATGAGCAGGGCCAGAGGAGACAGAGCTAAAACTACAAAAATTAACCACACATTGTCAGTTAAAGCTGTTTCCTGGAACCTAAGTCTTAGGAAAGGCCATCTCATCCTTTTAGAAAAGGGCCAGGACTGCATAGAGACTGAGAAACCACTGAAGATCTGTGTGTGGCCAGGTGGAAGGGACATGGCTGTCTGTGGAACCTCGGAAGGCCAGACTGGCTCCAGATGGGCTATATCTGTCCCCTGGTCAGCTGGTTCCGGCATCCCTGCTTCACAGGAACAATATCCTCAGTGTTAACATTTGATTCCATTTCACATACAGGCTTGCTATTTCATCTGCACAATCGATGCACAAAAGAAAGATGCATCCGTTTCCATCCTCCTCACAGACCCAGGCCCCTTGTTCTCTGCAAAACCCTGGAGCAGCATGGCCATTCCTGACCTAAACATTCATCCCCTCTGCCTGTATCCCCTCCAGTCATCCCAAACAGGGATAGAGAGCTTGCTTCCCTGCATAATACATCTGAGCTACTTGGAATTTTTCACATTTTAAGTACATCAAAATGCATGCAGAGCCATATTCCCCCCATCCCTAATACTGATATAAAGTGCACACACCTCTTCCAAAAGGGAAAAAAAGCACTTGGGTTGCAACATAATTGCAATTGCCAGACCCACTGGAAGCAGGGTTTAAGTTCAGGCACTGGATTACTGCTTAACTTCTCAAAAAGAGAAAGAGGGAGCTTTGCTAGGGCTTAAGCTTGTCTGGAATTTGTGGCTCCTGTTTGTGGGAAACCCTTTTCCTACCCACAGAGTTGCTGGGCACTGGTCAGGGCCAGTTCTGGCATCAGGCAGAGTGGAGGAGCTCACTGACGCACATTTTGTGCGTTCAGAAAAGGCAGCAATCATGAATTATTTCGTTGTTATTGCATGTTTACAGTCAGAGAGGCCCTTACTGCATTCTCTGCCTCAGGAGTCAAAATAACTTTATAGGGTTTTGGCACTCTGTACCTTGACCTCCGTGAGGCAGCAAGACAGAATGTGCGGCTCTGCCTTGAGCTGAGAGATGCCTTGGGCCAGCCTCAGTGCTGGTGCCAGCAAATACTCTGGGGTGACTCTGAGGGAAACAAACTCTTCATATGCTTACTGACATTTTCACCCCATATCACAGGGTTCAGGCTTGGCACAGAGTGAAGAGCAGTACAAGCCCCATTAGACAGGGTAAGTATAAAGTATTCTCCTAGACTGCCCCCAAACTATACAATGTGTTCCTCCAAGAATTACAATTGACCGCCATTGTCTTGGCCTTTAGAAAGGATGTAAAGTTGCTTTTTTAATCTAGCCTTTTAAAATGTGTAGCTTTTAATGTTTAACTTTTAAAAATGTATTTGTTTTTATCATTGCAAGGTTTTATTATTTTAAATGGTTCTACAACTGCTTGATAGCTTCTCAGAAGATAAGGTTATATATAAATGTCAATCATTCAATAAGTAACATTAACTGCCTTTTCCTTCTGTTTCCAAGATTCATGATCCAGCAATTTTTCCTTCTGCAATCCCGGCATCCCAACCAAAGCACAACCAAAACCACCCAGTTTTGCTGCCTGGCTTTTACTCCCCAAGGCTCACCTGTCTCTGGCTGAGCATGTAAAGGTAGCGCTGGTCAGGACTCAGGATCATGTCACGCAGCAAGGGCTCTCCGGGCATCACAGGCACAGATTCATAGAGATGGGCCTCGTTTGGGTTGTCCACACGGACCTGTGGGATGATCGCATGAACAGCTTTACTTATCCCACACTCGAATGGGGATATGATTCTAACAAGGGGCCCTTTCTCCTCTCCCCACCTACACCAGAAACTTGCTTGAGTATTTCTAGAGGGTTTCCCTTGGAAAGGTTTGAATTGCAGAAGTATTTACAAGTGGAAGGGCAGGAGTGGGTGTAGAACAGAGGTAGGAAACAATGGATCTCCAGAAGTTGTTAGACTCCAGCTTTAATCACCCCCAGCCCAGGTGGACAGGGCTGATGAGACTTGGAGTCCAACAGAATCTGAGGTTCCCTAGCCCTGATGTACAGGACTGAAAATTCAACGGAAAGAGTGCAAAAACTTGAATCTGATTTCATTTTGCAGCTCAGCTGTTCAATGATCTTGGGGGCACTGCAGCACAAGTTTTCTCCACTGCATATCCTTTTGTTGTTGCTGTTAGTCGCAAAGTCATGTCCGACCCATCGCGACCTCATGGACAACATTCCTCCAGGCCTTCCTATCCTCCACCATCCCCCAGAGTCCACTCAAGCTCACACCGACTGCTTCAGTGGCTCCATCTAGCCACCCCATTCTCTGCCGTCCCCTTCTTCTTTTGCCATCTATTGTTCCCAGTATTAGACTCTTCTCCAGGGAGTCCTTCCTTCTCATTAGGTGGCCAAAGTACTTGAGTTTCATCTTCAGTATCTGGCCTTCTAAAGAGCAGTCAGGGTTGATCTCCTCTAGGACTGACCGGTTTGATAGCCTTGCAGCCCAGGGCACTCGCAGGAGTCTCCTCCAGCACCACAATTCAAAGGCCTCAATTCTTTGGCGCTCAGCCTTCCTTATGGTCCAGCTTTCACAGCCATACATTGCAACTGGGAAAACCATAGCCTTGACTATATGCACTTTTGTTGGCTGGGTGATGTCTCTGCTTTTTAGTATGCTGTCTAGATTTGCCATAGCTTTCCTCCCCAGGAGCAAGTGTCTTTTAACTTCTTGGCTGCAGTACCCATCTGTGGTGATTTTGGAGCCCAGGAAAATAAAATCTGTCACTACCTCCATTTCTTTCCCATCTATTTGCCAGGAAGTGAGAGGACCGGATGCCATGATCTTAGTTTTCTTAATGATGAGTTTCAAGCCAACTTTTGCACTCTCCTCCTTCACCTGCATCAAGAGGCTCTTTAGTGCCTCTTCACTTTCTGCCATGAGAATGGTATCATCTGCATATTTATTTATTTATTTATTTTTCAATTTATATCCTGCCTTTTTCCTACAAAGGGCTCAAGGCAGCTTACATCTCCTCCTCCATCTTATCCCCACAACAGCAACCCTGTGAGGTAGGTTGGGCTGAGAGTCTGTGACTGGCCCAAAGTCACCCAGTTGGCTCCATGGCTGAGTGGGGACTAGAACCCAGATCGTCTGAGTCCCAGTCCCATGCTCTTAACCACTACACCACACTGGCTCTATCTGAGGTTGTTGATATTTCTCCCAGCAATCTTAATTCCAACTGGTGATTCATCTAGCCCCGCCTTTCTCATGATGTGCTCTGCACATAAGTTAAATAGGCAGGGCGACAGTATGCAGCCTTGCTGAACTCCTTTCTCAATTTTGAACCAATCAGTGGTTCCATGTCCAGTTCTCACTGTTGCTTCTTGACCCGCATATAGGTTTCTCAAGAGACAAATAAGATGGTCTAGTACTCCCATCTCTTTAAGAACTTGCCACAATTTGTTGCGATCCACACAATCAAAGGCTTTAGCATAGTCAATGAAACAGAACTAGATGTTTTTCTGGAACTTCCTAGCTTTCTCCATGATCCAGCGTATGTTGACAATTTGATCTCTAGTTCCTCTCCCTCTTCAAAATCCTGCCTGTACTTCTGGTAGTTTTCAGTCCACATACTGCTGGAGTCTAGCTTGTAGGATTTTGAGCATAACTTTGCTAGCATGTGAAATGAGTGCAATGGTGCGGTAGTTTGAACATTCTTCTCATTGCCCTTCTTTGCGATCGAAATGTAAACTGACCTTTTCCAATCCTGCGGCCACTGTTGAGTTTTCCAAATTTGCTGGCATATTGAATGTAGCACTTTTACTGCATCGTCTTTTAAGATTTTGAATAGCTCAGCTGGAATGCTGTCACCTCCACTAGCTTTGTTGTTGCTCAGACTTCCTAAGGCCCATTTGACTTCACATTCCAGGATGTCTGGCTCGAGATCAGTGACTACCCCATCGTGGTTATCAGGGATGTTAAGCTCTTTCTTGTATAGTTCCTCTGTGTAATCTTGCCACCTCTTCTTAATCTCTTCTGCCTCTGTTAGGTCCCTGCCATTTTAGTCCTTTATCATGCCCATCTTTGCATGAAACATTCCCTTCATATCCCCAATTTTCTTGAAGAGATCTCTGGTCCTCCCTATTCTACTGTTTTCTTCTATTTCTTTGCACTGTTCATTTAAGAAGGCATTCTTATCTCTTCTAGCTATTCTCTGGAATTCTGCATTCAATTGGGTTTATCTTTCTCTTTCTCCCTTGCCTTTTGCTTCCCTTCTTTCCTCAGCTATTTGTAAAGCTTCCTCAGACAGCCATTTTGCTTTCTTGCATTTCTTTTTCTTTGGGATGGCTTTAGTCGCTGCCTCTTGTACAATGTTGTGAACCTCCATCCATAGTTCTTCAGGCACTCTGTCTATCAGATCTAATAAATCTATTTGTCACCTCTACTGTATATTCATCAGGAATATGATTTAGGTCATACCTGGGTGGCCTAGTGCTTTCCCCTACTTTCTTCAATTTAAGCCTAAATTTTGCAACAAGAAGCTCATGATCTTAGCCACAGTCAGCTCCTGGTCTAGTTTTTACTGACTGTATAGAGCTGCTCCATCTTTGGCTGCAGAGCACATAGTCAATCTGATTTCTGTGTTGACTGTCTGGTGATGTCCATGTGTAGAGTCGTCTCTTGGGTTGTTGGGAAAGAGTTGTTTGCTATGACCATCGTATTCTCTTGACAAAATTCTACCAGCCTGTGCCCTGCTTCATTTTGTACTCCAAGGCCAAACTTGCCTGTTATTCCATTTATCTTTTGGTTTCCTACTTCAGCATTCCAATCCCCCATGATGATAAGGACATCATTTTGGGTGTTAATTCTAGAAGGTGTTGTAGGCCTTCATAGAACCGGTCAACTTCAGCCCCTTCAGCACCAGTGGTTGGGACACAGACTTGGACTACTGTGATGTTGAATGTTTTGCCTTGGATGCGAACTGAGATCATTCTGTCATTTTGGAGACTGTATCCCAGTACTGCTTTTCCTACTCTTTTATTGACTATGAAGGCTACTCCATTTCTTCTGAAGGATTCTTGCCCGCAGTAGTATACCTGATGGTCATCTGAATTAAATTCACCCATTCCTGTCCATTTTAGTTCACTGATTCCTAAGATGTGGATGTTCTGTCTTGTCATCTCTTGTTTGACCACATCCAGCTTGCCTTGATTCATGGATCTTACATTCCAGGTTCCTATGGAGTATAGATCTTTACATATCCTTACTTATCTTAAAATGGAGATGCCTCACAGACGTGCTTCATGCTAGGCAAAGATGATGATGAGCTTTGTACCATGAAGTGCTAGGGAAGCGATGGTGAAATAATATTGTAAATGGTGGGATATCTCATCTCCAGAGAAGCTATAAGCTGGTGCGATGGAAGGAATAGCACGATGGGAGCCCACGAGAGGACAACTGGCTTCCACTTATGACACAGACATGCTCTGTGCCTCTGATGGTAGACTGTTTCTCCACACGTATGTAGCCAGCTGACAGAGCACTGAATCTGTTTAAATTTCTGACACACCCTCATTGAGCAAAGCACTGTCCCAGGTTTGCTGCATTTATGGCCTGCTGTCCACTGAATCTGATGCCCAAGGTATATCTTTCCCTTATTGCCCTGTGAGTTATGAAAACATACTCATTTAACATTACAACTTTCCCCTTCTAAATACTGTTACATGCAAGAAGCGAAGAGTCAGTCTCCCCCACCATTCCTGCTTTGGTATGAAAGGGAGAACATATGCATTTGTGTGTCTTTCATAACTCAACAGTTCTTTGTAAACCAGGTATAATCACCACAAGGCTGGTTTTTATTTTTATTGTTTTGGGGTTATGCTTTAGAGAAGCCTGAACTGCTCAGAAGCTAAGAATCTGTGCAACATGCCAAGCATTCTGCATTTGGGAATCACAAGAATTGGACATTTGTGACTATTGAAAATTATGAGTCAGCTCTAACCTATACGATTGTCTTCACAGTGGTAGAAAGAGAATTGCCAGATGGGCAAGAGATTCAAAAGCCACACTCTAGGATACCTTCCAGGTTATGTTGCAATAAAACGGCATGGATTTTAAGAGTACGATGCTGGCTTGTTTTTTTGTTTTTTTTAATGGAATAAAAGGTGTTTTAAATTTCAACTCAATCCCGTTTTTAAAGCAGAGCTGGCTGCCTTTGGCATGAGCACCACACACATGGAATAAGGATTGGCACCTGAAATCTGCAGGGCCAAAACCATCCCTCTGAGGCATACCAGTGGCCACTACTTGCCAATGCAGACATAAGATGGGTGTGCGGCAAGAATGGTGGTCATGGCAACAGGACTTAATATTAGCCATACTGGTAGATGTGAGGTGCTGAGTGGAGCAACTTATCTATTTTTGCATGTTTTGTATTTGTTAGTGAGATTTAGTTAAGACCAGCAATCTTATGCTATGAAAACTTGCTATTTGCATCGCTGCATTTCTGCTTCGCTTTGCAAATTAAAAATAGGCATAACATTTAGACACACGAGAACTTCAAAAGTTAATCGAAATGATTTCTGTGCAAAAGCGTCTGTGATTAATATCCCTATGTCTTTGTGGTGTGCTGCTGTCTGAAGAGAAGTATTGCTTTGGCAAGTTAAAAACACAGACTGCTATCCTGACTGTTATTTGATCTTTCAAATTTTAAGTAAAACTTAGCCAGCCAGAATTCTTGGTAT